TAATCTTAAAATGAGGTCAAACCGAGTCTATTGAGATGCCCATTCCCCAAATAAATAGTCTCACAAAAGGGTTTAAACAATGTGGAGTCGGTATGTAGCATTCTGTGAAACTTGGGGGTGCCAAATGATATATGGTTTCATTCTTGAAAATGGAGCTGCAACTTCAGAGCTAAGGACTTCCCTCGCCTTATGAATGGGGAGCATAAAATAGAGTTTTTGACGACCTGCGCACAAGGTTCGCATAAATTGAATGTGCTTGAATAGGGACAGGCTTCCCGGGCAAATAAAAGGGAGTTACTCAATGAAAAAAGCTCAAAAAAGGGAGTTCAAACTCCACTGGGCCAAATTGGGGTATTTGGTTGTGTGTGTGTGTGTGTGCTTAAGGGGAGGGGTTTACGTGCATGTGAGTGCACCGGTGTGCGTGTTATATGTACACATGCTTGTCCTAGTTTCGCTGGATTTTACAGAATGAATATTTTTGTCGCGACGTCACCGGGCCTCCGAGAAGCTAGGACATGTCAAGGACTGGTCCCGCCATGGTTTTCATTCAGCTACGTCAGCTCCGTCAAGGATTTTGCGAGCCAGCGTGAATGAAAACCGAAAGGAAGCCAACGGAACTATCCAGGGTCAGAGCATAATAATAGCGCATAACGGGTTTTCATTGAGCAAGAGAGGCGCTGCCAAGCTAACGGTTCACTCCATTGGAGTTGCCAGCCAGTTAGTTAGAGTCTGTGGTCCGGGGTGTAAGCGAAATGAAGTTAAATGATATATATGTAGATAAACTACCAACTCCGCCAAACATAAAACATACACACACTTTTATATATTTGTGGAAAGCTAGAAGAGCCTGCCCCAAGCCAAAACTAAAAGTCTATCAATATTTGGAAGCTCTCACTTCCAGCCACAGCGCATGCGTGGGAAAGATACCGTTACAGACGATGTGAGAGATGAAGAGAGAGCTTCAGTTATCTTTCCCAATGTGTGTGCGTGTGGGAGTTGTCGCCCATAAATGATCTGGGACCAAGCTAAGTCCAACCAACTAAGCAACGACCCGACTTTAAAACACCATATAATTATGTACAAAACTTTCGAGTTATTTGGTATGCTCCAAACATTGTTGCCAAGTGAATGCTTTGGATACTCCCACACACACACACACACTCACACTCTAACGCCCACAGGCACACACACATGGAGGCTGCAGCAGGAAAAGATGAATGAACGCTCTGCGTGTGCGTGTACGTCTATGTCTGTGTTCGTGCACACCCACACGAAAAGACGGAGAGGCGACGCCAAAGTACAACAAAAAACGAAAAGTTTCAACACCCAGAGCCACTCTTTAAATAGTTTCGATGGTCCCCACTGTCTAACACACACACACACACGCTCCTACCTATATTTGCACACAAGCACAAATGTCGCGTGGTAACGATGTCCCGCTTACCGTTACATTACTCACATGCCAATCAATTTACAATGCAAAATTGAAATCGAATGTTGTTTCCGCTGCAGCAAGAAACGCAGCAAACAGGGTGACTTTTGTTTACAACAACAGTGGGGTTTCAAAAATATTTTCCATCGTTTTTTATTTTTTGTTAAATGTTTTGCGTTGCCTAAAATAATTTAAAAAGAATTATAGAATTCAAATACTACTAAAAAACTAAAAAGCGCACGCCCCATATATTACTAAATATAATTGCCTACTTTATAGCGACCTCCTGCATAAATAAGTCAAATATTTTGTCTGCGAGATCACAAGATCTAGACAGCAATGAATTGAATACAAACCACAAAATCTATCAAAGGAAATAACAATATTGAGCAATTACTTTGTTAGTGGGATAGTTATGCCTTCAAAGGTGGAAATATACTATTAGAAAAGAAAGAAAAGCGCTTTAAAAATGAAACACAAGCTCATTTGCCTTTCCACAACAAAAAGGCTTTTAAAATATATGTATTAAGAACTCCAATTCCTTCGTAAACTCAGTGGCATTCACTTGAACTTATTGAGGCCAACTAAAACCGCTGATATCAATGATATCACAATGATTCCACACATAGGAATAGTTGTGGGCACCCTCTAAGCGACTTTGCGTGGGGGCATGCCGCGTATCAATTCATTATGAGGACGGAATAAAGAGCAAGACATGAATGAAACTATTGGAACCTTGGGTGCCATGCTTTTTTGTTCTTATTGCGCAGGCTGGCGTTTGCTGAAAGAAATAAACGAAACGAACCGCGGACGAAACAAACAGCAAACGGACAAACACAAAATGACATCATTTTCGAATAGAATTTAAAGAGCGCCAGTGGCGCGAGGCAATAATACGTGAGTAGTCGTAACAACGGCAATTATTGGGCCCAGAGGCGAACGGAAAAAGAAACCACACATGGGGGCGTTCCATTTCATTCATTAAAAGTGTCGACAGACAATGCGGAGACTTCAATTCGGCCAGACAAATGACTCACGCTTCCTTCATTCATTCGACTGGCTGGCTGTTGGCTTGTCCATTGAGGAAAAGTTAAAAGCGCTTCGCAAATTGAAATTGACTTCCAACAATCGGCTTTCAATTGATGGCAATTAATCGAGGCATGCCAAATAATTGCTACACATGAAATGCGCAAAAGAGCCACAAATGAGTGCAGGCTAACCGATGTGTAAGCGGCGCGCTTCGTCACTACGTGGGCTGCCTTAATTAAAATTAAATACAAGCCATTCAGAGCAAAGGGAAACCCACAAGATATGTCTTAATTATAATATTGACTTAAATTATTTTTAATTTAAAATCACAAGACCTCTAGTTTTTTGTTTTTTTTCCCACGAAACTTCTTAATATCTTTGAAAGTAAACTTAAAATAAGCCTAATTTCTTCATATCATTCATTAACTAATGAAACTAAAAATGCCAACAAATTTAACGATTCCCATGGTTACAAATTTGGGAATTCTTCTTATCAATTATGTATCATATATCCGGCATATGACGTTCTTCCTAAAAACTCAGCAATCTGTAATGATTCAGTTCTCAGCTCTATTTAAAGCTTTTCAATTTATATTAAATATTATTTCAATTTCCTAGGCGCCATGAATGTTATTTTAAAGTAATGTTAATTTCCTTCATATGGTTTAAAATAAGATATTGATTTAGATTGAAAGAGATTATGTTTCAGGTCAGATGATAAGGGAATGAAAGTGTTGTGTTCCCTGCAACTGTGACATTCACTGCATAAATTTACAGATTCATGTATCTATATATTATATATCTAAATCTATATATTGAAATACCTAGTGGGCAAAACTCACCTTTCATGTCCTTCTGTCATGGTTCGTTATCAGAAAGATTCTAATATAGCAGCGTGTAGTGTCGGTGTTGTTGTTGTTGGTGGCGAAATACACCATGATTAAAGCATAAAGACATTCAGAGCTGCTGCTGCACAAACGTTTCCAACGAGAGAAGTGTAATCGAGCGACAACAACAACACCAGAAGATAGTTGCAATTCTGAGGCGATCCAATCCCACGTTGTTGTTTTTGCTGTTGTTATCCGACTTGCAGTATCTCGCCGATCTCCAGTACTCTTCTTCTTGTCTTATCTCTGCTTTCCTTGCTTTTTTGGCACAATTTTGGGGGGCGGGACTTTACAAAGAGTTGGGGGGGTTCTATTCATTCACTAAAATTGAAGGTGGGCGAAGGTGAATAATTAATTTCGGGTTTCGCGTTTAATAAATCGAGAATCACTTTTACTTTTCCCCAAATACACAAACACGGCGCTTTTCATGTGGGCGTGTAGACAAACACAGTGGAAAACTTGGCGCACACACACAAACGCGTACACATACACGGATTTTTCCAAGCAACAAAAGATGTAACAGATGAAAATTGAGAGAAGGAGAGGCTCAACTCCGTTTTCTCTATGCGTTTCAAACACTGTCTATACGAAATTGTAAACTTTATCGGGTTTTTTTCTTATTTATTTAGCTGTTTTGAACTACCATTTGCTGCGAGCAGTACTTTTATATTAACATAAAATTTGCAAAAGCGAAAATTCATTCATACAACGAATCAATCTCTCTCGCTCCCCCACTCTCCGTCTGTCGCTCCCTCTCTGTCTCTCGCGCTCTCTGCAGCTTGCGCAGAAAGTTTTTTGGGCGATTTCTCCATGTGTGTATATGCTGCTCTGCTTGCTGTTGCTGCCTTTACATACTTCATATTTACATACGCCTATACATACTGCACCACAGCTATATCTTTTCACCGATTTTCCCAGCCGATATGTTTAATTGCTAACCGCAGCGGTTTTACAACTATATTTTCTTCTTATTGTTCTCGCTTTTCATTTTCACTGAGCTTACGTATGTATGCATGTGTGAAAATTGGAGTACTACTTTTTAGAAACAGTAAAAAAGAGAGGGAGAGCAAAGAGAGAGCACTGGATAAGCTAATTTTTCATTATTTCGCATTTAAAATGTGTAGGCTCTGCCTTTTAATTCATTTATTTAACAACGCGCACACACATACACACACAGTCACACACACACACCAGTAGGAGCAGACGCAACAAAATGTAACATTTTGTTGTATTAATTTTGCACTGCTTTTAACGATATTTACTTATGCTGCTTGTGCGCAAATTTTTTTGCGAATATTTGTGCTTTTCCGATTGGGCGTTTTTAACAATTAAGCAGATATTTTCACAACAATTGACATTTCCAAAAACAAACGACGGCGACGGCGAAAAAATTAGTAGACAGTGTGACCGTGGAGGAATCCGATAAATATACTCTGTGTGCCAGCTCTCAAACTTCCTTAAAAATACCAAGCTAAATACATACATGGTATATTTCAACCTTGAACGTAACGAAAATATGAGTATTATCGATGTGCAACTCTGTGGATTCAATTTGTGGCGGTTTTTTTAAAACTGCAATTTTGTATTGTTTCATTTATTCCACATTTCCATAATTTGGAATTTATTTTGTATTCTCTTTTTTTTTTTTTTTTGTATTTTGTATTCTCATTCTCTTTACGTACACCGTGGATCATTATTGGCAGGAATCAGCAGGATCTGGCAGCTGGTCCTGTAAAGCAGCGGGAACTGGTCCCGATTGGAGTGCCATCATTCGAGCACGTCGAACCTATCACTATAGGTGATAGGCCATCTGAATGGCTTGGTATCCTTGCATTTCTTTGACAATCTTATCCTCCTGGCTGTCCATGGCGATGAAGTCCGAGAAGAGATCGTCGTCCGGTTGTAGGCGGGAACAGGAAGTGGGCCAGCATGTGGTACTTGGTGATGTGGAGCATCACCATGCAGTCTAGGTCGTCCATCAACGATCTCCTCAGATCCATTTCCATTGCATGGCTGGATTCTCCGCCGCAGTATTTCTGCAGACGGGTTGGACTCGTTCCGCTTTCAGCACTTTTCAAAATGCGCCAGAAGATTATTGATGGCCATCAGTCCGGTAAATTTGCCGCCCTCAATCAACTTTTCGTCCTCGTTGGCAATGATACTCCAGCTGACCTCCAGGGACTTCAAAATGTGAAAGATCTTTACCAGACCCCTCGACGTGGGTGTGGGCATCATGCCCAGGATAACGAATTCCTTGGCCTTCCTTAGTAAACTGCTCAGCTCGCAGTTGTCATTGAACAAAACCTGAAGCACTCCCTCAATCAGCTTCAGGACGTACTTGTCTAAAATTATATAAAGATTATAATGATAATAATGATTATAAAAGGCAAATGCATGATGAAGGCTATAATACTAACCTGTGGATGACTTGTTTCTGGGTACATTGATGAGGCCCATCAACTGGGTGCACTTGCGACCCTCCAGGACATAGTGCGCAGTGCTGGAGAGTCAGCACTGGCGTGCTTTTCCTCGGCGATGGCAATGCTATAACCATTCACGCGGATGCGGGACATCTCGGAGCGCGCCTGCTTAAATTTCTGTTCCTAGAAGGTGTCGACGCTCAAGGCGTCTCACTCCGGGTCTCACTCTGACTCCGGGTTCAGGGAGCAGTTCCTCGACACAGACATTGCGTCCGTACTCGGAACCGATTTCCAGAAGAGTGGAGATTAGTTTCTGGAGCCCCGAATCTTTGACAATGTTGAAGGGACGGCAGTTGGCGAAGCACCACTCCATCACCGCCTGGGTTACCTTATCGGTTGCCTTGTCCGCACTGAAACCGCCTGAATTCTTGATCCTCGCAGGAGGACCCAGGGGGTCCTCTGTGTTCGGACTTAGGACTTTGGTCCTGTAGCACTTGTGCCGCTCCATGTGTGAAGTGCATCCATGAAATTTCATCAAGCTGCTGCAAATCCGACACATCACAATCGTCGGGATGGCGTTTCCGTGTTGGTCCTCGATCCTGGAGAAGGCGTTCCAGACGAATGCGCTTCTTGCTGAATCGCAGGACTCCGGAGTGCAGCTGGGCCTTGATTTACTCCCGGCTGTAGGAAGCTATGGAAACTTTACCCATCTTAAGAGATTCTACAGATTCTATTTACAATGGACAACTCTATTGGGTTTATCGATTATCATGGCAAATCGGCATCGCTAGTCGTAAGACAATTTTAGGCTCTACACTAAAAGAAGAAAAAGTATAAGAAACAAATTAAATACAAAACACCCATTTAAACTTACCAAGTTTTAATAAATAATTTTTTTTTTAATAAATTAGTGACCAACTCGCGGCACCTTGAACTTTTCGCACCGTGCTTGTGCGCGTTTGCCAGCACTGTTTTGTGCGTGACTGAATTTTCGTGAGTTTGTATTTGTGTAGATTTTATAATTTGGGTTTGTTTTCCTTTTTGGCAACCCGAATTACCAGCGAATCGAGCAACGGATCCGCCACGATGCATGTTGAAAAGAAGTCGGAGCTGCGCAGCCTACTCAAATCCGGGGACAAGCGTTGCAAGCTCGTAGAGCCCCGGAACACCAAAAGCTGCGTCTGGAGGTTTTTCAATCTCGTCCAGTGCGACGACCACATAGAGCCGTATGCCTGCTGCAAAACCTGTGGCGATCTTTTATCCTACAGCGGGAAAACCGGAACCGGATCGCTGCTCCGTCACCGATGTCTCCACTCCAGCAGCAGTAACGGTAAGTTCGGGATCCGAAATCTCACGCACGCCCTTCGCAATCGAAATCCACTGCCACGCGTGCTCCGTGCCGTAGAAACCGAGCACGGATCAGTGCCCGATGCCATCGCGATAAATCCACGGGTCATCGGTAAAGGCCACTCCGTTTGGGCGCGGGAAAAGTAGAAATTCTAGATGTACCTAGGCAATAAACCCTCTGAAAAAAACAACTATCAATGTAGTGCAGGATAGGTACTAAATTTCCCCCAACCAGTGGTTTTGCTTGTAAAAAGTTATGCAAAAAAAGTTCTAAAAATTATTATTATTTAGTAAGGATTTTGCGCTGTTGAAAGATATGAAAACATTCTTTTACTTTGGTTTTTCACCTTTTTTTGTGCGTTGCCTTTGTTTTCACTCTTACATGCGGGCGTTTTGCAACACTGCAACAGCGAACACTTGACAACACTGGCGACAGCAACGCTAATATCGCAAAAAAATAATTTTGTGAAGAAAAATCGTTTTTTGCGTACTAAATACCTAAAGAAAAAGATTGAAAATGCCCAAGGGTCGCGTTAGCAATGTGTGGCAGCACTACGATATTAACGAGGAGTGCGAAAACTTTGCGATATGCCGTTACTGCGGCAACAATATATCGCGTGGTGGCATGGCAAGCAATTTGAAGGGCAACAATACGACCAATTTGTGGACGCATCTGCGGCACAAGCACAGGGACGAGGTCCTGGTCAGTCCAGTGCAGCAGCGTCCCCAGGCCCGCATGATCCCGATCATCAAGAAAGGTAATCCCCGCGAGCGCAACTGTCCACGAAGTTCTTATGGCGGGCTATCGACCCCTGGGGTCGGCGGGAAACTATCGCGGGCGTCCATCTCTGGGTGATGATATTTTTGTTATTATCCGGCAGCTGTACCAATATGTATCGTATTGACCATCGGTGCCATCCTTTGCATTGCAGACAAAACTGTGCGGATTACCAAGGCCAAGACGCTGAGGGAGCCGCTGCGTGTGGCCAAGCCGAAGATTGAGTCGAACGTTGCCAATTATCTGGGCGAGGCGGGTGCACTGCCTCAAAAGTGGGAGGAGTACGAGCAGAACGATGAGATCAGCGAGGACATCAAGGACATCATATACAGTGAGGATCCACTGTGCTACAGCCCCATACACGTGATGGAGGACGATGGGCTGGATCAGCCCGAAAAGCAGGTGACCGTGCTTACTCATTCGACTTCATCCGTCGGTGGAAGCAGCAGGCCCAGCGCTGTGGGTTCGGGGGCACAGGCCACTGTGGTGGCCTCCACGTCCTCCAGCAACAGCTCGGCCAAGCAGCTGAAGAACAACCTGGAGACGTCCATCGATCGGTTGACCACCGTCAGCGAACAGCTCAGCTACATCATTCAGCAGAATCAAGAGGAGCTCAACAAGGACGACGACTACTATTTTGCTCTTAGCTTGGTGCCTGTTATGCGCCATCTTTCGCTCAGTCGAAAGATGTACGTGCGGTCCAAGATCCAGGAGATACTATTCAAGGAGAGTGAGGACTCGGCGCCCGCCAAGGATGAGTAGGCGCTCCATTATATACGCTTACCCAGAGGAATAAGAAAAAGAGGAACGAAGCATAAACAACAGGGCATCTTTGCATGTCGTAAACTAGGTTTATAATTATACATATGTTATGTATTCATTTAATTTATGCTCTTTAATCAAGTGCAAATAATTTGATTATTCAATTATATTTCCCAATAAACTTTTACTTAAAACTAAATAAAGCATTACGACGAAACAAGAAAAACGGCGGTTTCATGGCGTATTACGTTTATTTTAAATAAATTTTATTTAAATAACTTGTTAAGATTTACAAAACAGAGAGCGTTGCTAGATTGTTATTATAAATTATTGTATTGTAATTTACAAATCGATTTTGCGGCTAAGTTCTGCTGTTTATGCGATTCTTATAGATATGCTTGTATTGGCTGCTTCCCAATTGCGAAGCCAACCATTTCGTTTTTTGTCAATTTTTTGTAGATCTAGGAGTGCAAGCGTACATTATCATACAATACGAATACAAATTACAGTAAAACTCCTACAAATCGAGCAATAAACAATAAACTTAAGCCTACGTATGTATATATATATAGTATATGCACCCCCAGATATCATTTCCCAGTGTATGCTAGGCTTAGATTCTAGTCAACAAATCGGTAGTTTATCAAACACTGACTTGAATAGCGAAATGTGTGAATGTATGCCTAATGATGATTTGGTGTTGATGTTGATAGAGAATTTCGAATTGTGGATATGAAGGGCATTATACAAATATGTTCGAGTAGTGATGTGTTCGGGTTCGCTTTAGGTGGATATTAGGACTAAGTGCACGATATGTTTGCCAAAAGTTTGGTATAAATTTGTTGTAATATTACGCTTAGATATGCTGCAAATCTGGCTTGTATATCTATGTAGGTATATAACATTTTGATTTCGGTTCTCTCGACTGGCAGAGTGTATATCCAAGACTTTTTTCTTCATTATTTTCGATATTAATCCAAGAAAGTATCGTATACAAGCATTTAGTTATGTCCAAAAGTTCTTTCAAATTGTATCTGTTTTGGTATATCTTGATTCGTATTAGAATTGATCATCATGGGTATATATTTTGTATAATTTCATCTATTCACAGTTCCGATTATTATTAAGTTTTTTATACTTTGAGATAAATATTTACAAAATGTATTTTATCAAGCTATTTTAGAACTATTTTTGCCCGATCTTAACTTCCGGGTTCTTGAGCCCCTTGCATGATATGCCTTCCCCTCTCTCATATGTTTTCGTTTACTTTGATATGGTATTCTATGCGTATGTTTATAAATCTAGTACCGAGGCATATTCAAAATAAGTTATAAACGGGATTCAATCAAAAAATGTACAACTATATCAATAGAGTTTTGAATTTTGGAACCATTTTCATTTGTTTATTGCACTTTCAAGCTTCTTGTGATTGGCGTGGTATCTGCGACTCCTGGGGGAGACTTGTGGATTTCGGGCCTGCCAATAGCCTCATTTAGTAGTAATATTATTTGGTTGACGTCACCAGTTGGGTGCTATAGCCCTGTGTATTGCAGGTGGGCAGGGCGAAGGGATTGAAGCTCAGGCTGCTGACCCCTGCAAATAGTTTAACATTTAAAATATTCAATTAATGGGCATGTTTTACGGGAGCATATAGTGCATTTCAGTTATAGGGACTAGCACTTTTAGCGCTTTTATTGCTAGAAAAGAGGAAATTCAACAGAAGTCTACCAAAGTGGGGGTCGTTTTTGATCGATTTAGAGTCTTAAGGATAATGGAAATTATAAATACCGTTAATCGTGTGTTGTCTGTGGTGTTTTGTTGATGGTGGAGAAGTGTTTTGAATGCTCAGATTTGCTTCAGCAGCCCCATCCACACACCCATGGGCCCACACACTGTGGACACACTGTGGGCCAATTGTGGGCGTCCTTGCAGTTTCGGATTGATAGATGGCGTCTGGCCATGTGTGTGCGTTTTTCGTTTGGACTTGTATGGTGGGTGGTGGGTGCTGGGTGGTTGGTGGTGGGTGGTGTTGGGCGTGTGGCATTTAATTTCAACAAAATGTCGTTACTCGGCCCCAAAGTCCGGCTCAACCTGGTACATCATCCTCATCCTCATCTTCATCCTCCGTTCAGCTCCATCTGGCTGGCATGGGGAGTCCGGGAAACGCTTAAACGGCCGCCGCCGTGGCTGCTGACACGGCCGGATTGTGCCACGGCTGGTGGGGATGTGGGTAGTGGTGGTGCGGGTGGGCAGTTGCCGCGTGGTGGTGCTGCACGAACGCCTGGTGCCACGTCGACGACACGGCGGACACTGTTGGAATTAATGGCGAAAATGCACTTTGCTGAGCATACTTTGTTCACTTTGTTCGGGTTTGGGTTTTGGGGAATTGGAGGGGGCAATGGGGAAGATTCGGGATGTGGAGGCGAGACAGGTTTCTCAGTTTATGTGGGGGCGGTATTCATGTGAGAGTTATACAAACAGAAGCCAAAATCAACTGAAGATGGTAAACGAATTCAGGGCTTTCTGAGACAGGGGTTAGATTAATGATGGGAACATGAGATTCAAAGGCTTCAAAGGCTTTTCAGATTCTTCTGGATAAATCCATTCTATATAATGTCTCTCTTATTAACACAAATGAATGCAGGACTCTTCATGCCAAGGATGGAGAAACTTACTTGACGTGGAGTTGAAGACGCTGCCGGGCGACGAGGAGAGTGTGCCCATGTTGGGTGCAGGCGCATAGCCATTGGCCGTGGCCGCCACCGCTGCACTGGCCGCCGTGGCGCCGTAGGATCCTCCCGAGCTGTGCGGCGTGGAGGCGCTGCTGCAGTAGCCGCCACGTGGACTCACGCTGCTCGACTGGGCACGCTGGTAGTCGTCCTCGGTCCACTGGCCGGAACCATCCTGGACACTGACCGCCAGTTGGCCTGCATAGGAATTGAAGCCCGTCGAGCCGCCCGGTGATCTGCTGCAACACGGGTTGGATATTAGTTTCCGCCGCGTAACTGGGCTGATAGCAATGCTCTTACCTGGGCATAGAGTACAGTGCCTCGACCAGATCGGCGGCCCTCTTGAGGATTATCTCCTTCTGGAGCTTCTCGGGATCGCCGGGATGCCGGGGAATGAGCTTCTGCAGGCGCTGGAAACCGTAGTCGATTGTGGGTTCGTTGAGAGCTGCTTAAAGCGTTAATCAAAAGGTTAGATATGGAGAAGAGCCGGGCAATCATATAGCTGCAATCACTTACAGACATAGACGAAGCGGCCGGGTGATCCCTTGCAGAACTGTTTGCTCTTGTAGGAAAGCGTCACCTCCACCACGCCGGGAATGTGTCTCGGCGGTGTCTGCACCCGGATCGCATGCGAGGTGATCAGCTCGCTCCAGACCAGCATGGTCCCGAACACAACCTGCAGTCCATCGAAGAAGTTGTCGCCCACTATGATCACGGTGGCGCCACCGGTTGTCCAGCCTTCGCTGGGCGAGATCGCCTTGATGCACGGCGTGGCCACTGGCAGCGGTGGGTAGAGACCTGGAAGTGGATTCCACATATGGATGGGTTAATTGAATATATATCTAACCGTTTTGAACGCTTCGGAATTGCCAATTGCTACGAAAAAAACGAAAAATTGGGGTTCTTTGGGGTTCGTGGGGATTTCTTGGATCTACGTAAAACGAAAAATTGGTCGGAATAATTGGAATTTTGCTACGGACCATCGTAGGTACTGTCGGGCGCTAGGGGGTGACCGGAAATGGACAGGGATGTGTTGCCTGTACCTTCCGTGGTGTCCAGCCGCTTGGCCCTCCGCCCGTGCTTCGAGTTGTTGTGCACGAACATGTTGTCGGAGATGGCCAGTAGTGGTCCATCCACGGCCACCTGCGTAGAGATTACCACCTGGCATTAGGAGATTCTCAATTAATATCTGGATCGGTGTGGAAGCATCAGGCACTCACCTGAAATCGGCGCATATCCCGCGGGTTGCCGGCGTTCTTCAGACAGTTTTGATTGCACTTCAAGAAGAACTTCAGGAAGAAGCTGTAAGAAATGGTGGATTCAAATATTTACTGGATTGCATACTTAAGGAATCAATTTGACTGCAATTTCTAAGGTCCAAAACCTCACAAAAGATGAATTAAAGCTACCATATTCCCTAGCTTTAGTGCAGTTTTCCAGTATCTGATTTAAAGCAAGGTCTAAATATTTTGTTTGTTAGTATGCAAAGACCTATAAGGCCTTAATAAGCATTACTCAATTCGTAAGGGGCAGAATGTAGGACCATAAACGGTATAGGGCTCGTTTTCCCATTCTGCTGGCAATTATCAATCAGTTGTGGATTTATGCCAGCTTCAATTAAGAGTCTTTACGATGTTCGCGATGCTCGTCCACGAAGGCGACTTTACGAGCCGCTAATGACGGGTTGCGCCTTTTTGCTGCCAGTAGTGCCACTTGTTCCAGTTTGCCTGGACTTTTCTGGCCAGATGTTTGGCCCGAGGCGGTAGTGAGTGCCCTTGCGATAAGTGGGGTGACAGCCGGCGAATGTCCTGCGGCCAGGATGCGAGCCAGTTAGCGCAGTCGAATCCAATCCGACTCGAAACTCGAACCCAATCCAATGGAAACTGACACCCGTGTGCGGTGCATTTAAATGCTGAAATACTTTTATGCATCCGCCGGCGACATGATACGCCCTATCTGAATCCCCCTGCCAGCTTTTTATTTGCTGAAATAATATTTCCCTTTCCGATCAGCGGGGGAAACGGGAAAAGCGGCATTGTGCCGGCAATTTTCATCATATTTTTTCCCCGTTGTTTCCCACTCGACAAATTGAACAAATTAGCAGGGAGCTGGAGGGTTGATCTCTGGCCAGCGGGTGGCATCTGCATATGTCCTTGTCCGATGGGAGTGTCGCAAATTTGTTTATACGTCCGACACTTTGGTTCTTTGATTCCATCGGTTTCCCTATAAAAACATCGGCCCAAATAGCTCTTGCCAGTGAATTTCCTAAGCACATAAATCTCTACTCGGGCGATAAGAAAGTGGCATTCGAGATAAACACTAAAAGGAATAATTTCAATTAAAACTGATAAAACTAAACCAGTGAGTAGTATCCAATAAGTCCAAATCACAAAGTGTGTACAAACAATAGCTTTATGCGTGAAACTTATACCCTTAAAATGGGTTTTAAAATTGCAGTAAGTGTAGATGAAGTGAAGAGACCTCGAAAAAGACTAGATAATTGTTTATTTTTTAAGTATGTTTAAGTTAAGTGTATGCCTAACAGGTGCCAGTAAATTTAAGAATATTTATTCTATTTATCTTTCAATTACGAGGGCATACAAACTTCGGCTCACTAAACTAAACTTATATTATCTTACTTGTGTATTCAGCATTAAAAGCCAAGTGTGGGGCTTATCGAGTATGCCTGTGAACTTGGACTTTGCGAAGAAAAAACAGATGTGAGTGGATGGATGTTATCCATTACGGAAAAAAAAGAACCTCGGAGCGGGCTCATCATCATTAACACAAGCAATCCAGTGCGCCATCCTCCGAGAATTGAGAGCCGTGTATCTGTCAGATACAATATCGAATTACGGTGCGGCAACGAACGTGGAAACTCACAGATGCAACTGCAGTTTGAAATTTGAATACGTATCGAGTGGCTAAGGACGGGGATCCTCCAGGATAATGATTTCACTTGCCGGCGATGACTTCATCCCCGAGACACCAGAGCCATCATCACTTCGAGGCCAGCCTGCATTTTTATGGGCAGCTAATTGACTTTCTCGGAAGCATCCTGCCCTGCGCCTTGCTTGAATTACAATGTTTTCAAAATATCCTGACAGGACACATAAATTCACGGGGCCTCTCCTACCCCCCATTTGCATATGTCTATGTCTTCAAGGCGGCGATATTGCATTTGGGGAAATCTAGCCGAGCACACAAGTCCTGACCAATTCAAGGATTTTTCCCCGCGTAAAGCAACCAACCATAGACCACCACCACCCACTTGGTGGCAATTAAAAATTCCAGCCGCGTCCCGTCAATAAATCAAAGTGTCTCCCATCTTGGTCTTCTACTTGGCCAACAAAGTTGGCGCCTTTGGCCTCTTCTTTGTCCTCTTGTTTTGCCAGCAACGCGAAATTTTCATTTAATGAAAAGCTACGCATCATCAAATGTTCGCACATGACATCGGGCCACCTCCGCTTGGCGTTTTCGATGGGCCAAATTGGCAGGTCGGGCACGTAGCGCCAACGAAGTGCATAATTGGTCATTCATATTTGGGCGAGGGGATTGCGACTTGGCGGTGTTCCTCTGCGATTGGACGGAGATTTCTTTTTTAGCTGTTCGGAATGTCCTTCAATGTTTGTGTCCCATTGGCTGAAAATGCCACCGAACCGAAGATAGTCCAACTCTATCTTTAAAAATTGGATTTTCAGGGTGCAACTTATATAAAAATATTACCTTTTAAGCTGATAGTATAATATTGTAAGCACCAGCTCTAAGCTTAAGCCTTTCACCTTTATCCAGGCCATCTGAGGCACAGTAAATTGAAATAAATTCCCAGTATCTTTATCGAAAAGCGAAAGTTTCGTGCTGTTTATGGCTGCAAGGAGCGCCGGCGATTAAGTGTAAATTTGCGAAGCAACAAGAGTGCGAACAACAAATTGTGGCATTATCTTTGCATCGCCAAACAGCACACAAATTTAATGATGAATTTCAAAAGGACATAAATCGCTTTGCCAGGAGGCTCCTCCCCCATCCCGCCCATCCAAGCCGCCAAACCCAACACCCAAAACACCCAGTTTTCCCGCTGATATTATCTGGTCATGGCGTGAACAGTGGTCGTGAGGAGCCGAGAGCGTTTTTGGCGCACGCCAAACCAGAAAAGGATCTCAGGTGAGATGGTGAATGGTGGTGAATGGTGGGGCTGCCCGGGGGCAACTTGTCTCTAATTTTTCACTAACGATAATATTCAAAAATGTTCAACTTTATTGTCGCATAAACCCAATGACTATGGCAGGGCAATGGCAGTCGGCTGGAGTGGGAGGCCTGAAAAGTAATGCGAAAACTTACTTTCGCGCCATTTCTATGCCTTTTGGCATTTTCTCCACCGAAATTGTACACAATACAAAAAGCGAGAGCGTCACGAAAACATGGCCGTCGACAAGGATGAAGTCACCATTTTGGGCTTCTATTGTTGCTTGGGCTTTATTTATTTATGCTCCTTCTCGGCTTAACGCTCCACGCTTCGCAGGACCAAGCAGCACAAGCCGCCCAAGGATTTCGACTGCGATTCCTGGCCACCATTCCACCACTCCTCCCAACCCCCAAGTTTCGTTCTGAAGTTCATGGCTTTTTCTTCTATATCTTTTGGGCTCCTTTGTATTATAATAGACTTTTTTGTGCGGGGGATGGCGAACTTTACGGGCTGCGTGCCGTCTGCAGGATACGCTTATCCTTTTTGCCGGAAGAGAACTTGTTGAAAACACTTTCACTTGGTGCGTGTGAGGAGGCTTTCTCTCCGCGGAAAAACAGAGAGCGAAAGTGAGTGCCAGATACTTTGAGTGCATCTTATGGATTTGAGTGAGCTTTTAACAGCCCGAGTATACACATAACAACAGATATATGTACGTATGTCTAAATATGTATATATATATACATATATTTTTGGGGTTGCTTTGGGACCGAAAGTCATGCCGCTGGGACCGGGGAAATACCTTCCGAATGGTCTTGTTTTCCTTTTTTTGGGGAGAGCTGGTGGCTTGTTGTTCTTGGGATTTCTTCATCTATAAACTGATTATTTTTGTACACACACACACACACACACACGCACGCACTGCGAGGTTAGATATCAGACGACGATAAAAGTAGCTGGCATCAGACGCAGATAGAATGGCCACAAAAAGATACAAATGTATCTGAGACGACGACATGTGTGTGTACGTGTATGACCTTATCCCTTTGCTCTCCACCGAACCATCAAATTATCGACCTCATTGAAATGCCCGAATTATGCCAACTATTTTGGCATGTGTGTGCCGGAGTGTGTTGACTGTCAGTTAACGCTTTTAATGCCATTAATTATGCAACAGGGGTAAATGGCCGAGGAAATGGCTAACAGAATCGCACAGACAAACACCAACTAATAGATGAGTTTATCCCAAGATGATGAGCCGGCACAAAGACAATGTGGATACGAGTATAGTTCGCATCTGTGCATTTTTAATCCACATTCCGGTGTCATGAGGGCCATTTCAATTATGCACATTAGACGTTGCTTGGTTAATTCATTGGTTAACCTCAGGGAATGGGTTCGGCTATTTAAAGGGTTAACAGAGTGCCGAAAAGTGTGCATTGATCAATGTCGCAATTGTCTTAACTAATAAAGACCAGCTTATTCATCTATATATTCATCACACTGTAGAAATGTTCTATTATTTCAATGGCAAAGCTAGCTAGCTTTTGAATTTACCTATTTATGATTTAATAAACTACAGTTCCCAGGAGCAAACCTAAATTCAGCCTGCCAAAAAGGCGAGTGCCAATTTGAAGTGGGGAGCAGTGCAAAGCGTTCGAAATTTGCATTAATAATTCAATTTCAATAGACAGTCTACTACAAATATGCAAATGCGGCGTAGCTAGAGTTCTTTGAAATGCAAAAACTCAATTCGCATGCCACATCTACAAATCCATTGATTTACGAGGTGCACATCAAATGCAGTTCGCACACCTCAAATTCGAACGCAAACTCAATTGTTTCCACTTCAAAGATAATCGTCAGTCTTTGAAAATAATACCCCAAACGCGCTGCTCTTTCATAATTTTTGTTCTATTTTTTATCGGGTACAAGTGGCTGCAATAAAAAGCCAGAAATATGCGTTGCTCCCCGCATCTTTATCGATAATTAACTGCTATGGTTCCTCACACTACGGCTGTCTGCGCAGTATGTCTGCCCAATATTTCATGGGCGTACTGTCGATAGCTGACCGCAAATGCCGTCAAAATCGTCTCTTTTTCACATTTTGTGTGTTTGCCTCGCTTTGAATATTTGAGCAGGCCAACTGGCAGCCAGGACTTCTCGTTTTCCCTCCGTGTGACCACCTCCTCTTGGGCGGCAGGACACGACAACCAGCCCGTCCAGGTGGCTGGAATGCATTTAGAAAATTAAAAACTGTGGCCAACAACTAGCAGCAGTTTTGTCATCGTTTTAGCGCGAGTGCGATTATCAAGGCATGCAATGAATGGCCCAAAACATTGGCTCACCTCACGCAGCACAGCTAGGGTTATGAAAATGGGTATCTATGGAATACTCGCTTAAGAACATCATTTTATTTTGGTTTACATTGTCAAAGTATCTGAGTATTTAATTTGTTATCCTTAATGTTATGCTATATGTTATAACTTTAGTTTTTGTTTAGTCCTGCAAAATGTTTGTGGCGCCCGCGGGGGGGCATTTTGTGATTACGAATATACAATTTTTGAAGTGTTTGTGGGATATTGCGAGCACCCTGTTTCTTGCCCCGTCTGTTAAACTCCTCTCCCTGCGTTTTTGCATATTGGACACCACAAAATGCCAATTCTATTTGTTGCCAGCCAAAAGGGGGCGGGTCCTTTGGAGGGTAGTTGGCCGGGAGTTGGCACTTAGTTTATTTGTCGCTGCGGTGGACAAAACGCTGGCAAATATAGAAAATTGAAATAAAGCGAAGAAAACGCCAATGACGTAGATAAATGCAAGAGTGGCAAATTTCCGATTGTTCGTTCGCCTGAGAGCTTTTCCCACCCACACTCGATTTGCTGTTTTTCTGTTACAACGCTTTCGCTGTTTTGAGTGGTGGCGTAGTCAATTTTTTTGATTGCCCCACCATTTACCCAAATTAAAAAGTCGAACGCTCTTCGCTTGTCACGCGATAACAATTATAATGACCAGCAACGATAACGATGCCAATTGCATGGCTGTCAGTGTAATTCAAGTCATTACGCATACGCCAGATGTGGATCAGGAAATGATGGCCAGCAAATGGGGCAGGGGGGAAGTACGCGAAATGAGCCAAATACAAATAAAAACCCACTCGAGATCGGTGGAAATGTGTGACAAAAACGTGGAACATGTCGCAGAACCAACAACACAAATACCTCGAGGAGAAAAACAACAAGGACATCACGGGCACAACAACAACAACGGCCGCCGCCGAAGTGAGCTTTAAATTCACTTAATTATGGAACACACACGAAGTGCATGCCAACAAACTGGGAAAAGGGCAGATACAAAATGCGTGCCAGTCGATCCGGAGACAATGCGAGTGTCCACTGTGTCCTCGCAAATCATAAATAAAAAAGGAGCCCAGAAAGAGAGAGCGCGATTGCAACCGCGACTGCGACTGCAACTGCGACTAAGCCCTCATCACCTGCCCCAGGTAATTGCAAATCCCGCACCGATCTATTCCACTGTGGGGCAAGCATATCTAGCTTCGAGTCCACAGACTCGCCACTAATAAAGCTAGAGGTTTATTTCGCACATAAGCACACACAATGTGAAGTGGCAGGAATCATTATTTCTACAGAGAGGTGCCCTCCAAAATCATTCGCTAGCCTGAGATTTGGATCCGTTTTCCCCTTGCATTGACCCACTGTGCCCCAGCTTATTGTGTGCACAATTTCGGCATCTCCAAAGCCTCCTCTTGTGGCCAACTGCAGATCGGTTGCATGAATAACAGAAATTCATCAATAAAACATGTGCAGATCGCCGGCGAATGCTGGCTAGTGGCTACTGACCAGTGACCAGTGGACAGTGGACGGTGGATGGTGGCCACTGTGTTGGGCAGCTCTCACGGCACACGTCCGAACGTCAGTATGTGGCCAAAAGAGAGGAGTTGGTAGTTGGTAGCTGGTAGTTGGTAGCTGGTAGCTGGTTGCTGGTTGCTCTGGGCCCAAACTGGTGTTGTTGTGCTGTTGCTGTTGTCATATCGTATCAGTTTTGGGCTTTCGTCAGCCACTTGGAAATGCAAGTCGGTATCCCCCTGGATCCCCCGATTTGGAATTTTCAATCAGTTCCAATTGTTGCGCGCCGCGACAAAGTTTCGCCTGGATGGAGTCGGATTGGACGGACTGGGGTCGGTGGAGGGGCATTTGTTGGCTTGAGTGGCAAAATGCGTTGGACCCCCGGGCAAGTTAGCGCTTTAGCTGGGGCTCCAGCTCCTCCTCCTCCTCATACTGCTCCCCATCCAACTCCGCCACTGGCACGGGCAGAGGCAAAATTTAGTTGCGAACAGATAGATTATCCCGGGGTCTTTGTCTTCCCGCCGGCGGCATGATCTACTGGCATATCAATGAGCGGGCTGGATGGGCTGGCTCTGGTGGCCACCGACTGATCCATGCCGCCTTTTAAGCTGATTGGAGATGGGTGCTGCTTTGCTGGTAAATGGTAGCTGCTTACTGGGAGTCAGCCGTGTTTTCAGCTGGTGATTGATATGCGTCCGAGCCGCAGGAATGGAATGCAATGCCGACAAAAGTTACAGCCCGCCTGACAAATGCGACATGTGGACGGGCAGCTGGCGGGGATCACAGGTGTGAGCGTGTCACGATAGCTCAATAGAAAGATGGTCCAAAAAGCAGCCAGATACTTTTGTTTCAGCGGACAGTTTTAGAGAAATATATCACTCATAGAACTATAGTTCCTATGTTTCGCTCTTCACGCTACCATCTCTAGATGGGATTAGCCAATGTGTGAGCTGGTTGCTGGCCATCCCGACTAACAAGGCTAGTAAATAGAGAAGAAATGAATTAATAATCGTAAATATCAAGCGCAAAGTGTCGCACCCGGGCACGTGGGGCAGAAAAAGAGATGGGAGTCCCGCTGCAATGCAATCCAATGCCATGTAGTACCTCCAGCCTCCAAGGAGATTGGCCAAGTGTAACTGTTATTCCAACGGATGGCATTCTGGAGCAGCAGAACGCCGAGCAATTTTAACAAGATCATAAATGTGCAGCGGGCGATCTGTGATCTTGCCGAGATCGTGTTTTTCAGCCAGCTCTTTGCTGTGTGGCCAGAACTGGCTGGGTTTTTGTTGGTTTTTTGCCACTTCGGCATCGATTTTCGCCCGGCCATTTCCTAATTTGCAAGCTCAGGTGGCGGGGAGGAGGAGGAGGAGGCAATCAATTAAATTTAATTATGACACAATTATGGCCTGATTGTCAGTGCGGCTGACTGCCAGCAACCGGTCGCACTTTAATAATAGAATCATTAAGCGGAGCGCAGAGATCTCGGTTCGCAGAAAAGCCACCATTGTGGGCAGTCCTACAAATGGCAATTGCAACTGGAGTCGCAGAACGGAGATGGAGTTGGGCTCCACATAGGCAAATAGTTGGGCCCTTCGCCGGAGGTCCGTGGATCGGGCTGTACGGGGAATCACACTGGGCGCTGATTATCATCTGCATAAGGTGTGCCTCAATTTAATGGGGCCTAGGGACTACAAAATTGCTTAACAACTCAATGAGTTCGGCGGCAATGGCAGTACGAGTTGGGCAGGAATGTTTTGGCTTGGCTTGAATGCTTGGAGGCTGCTTTACTTTACTTCTCAAAGAGTTCAAGAACATCCTTCTTTATACTGATATCCGCCTTTGCTAACCGCTTCTTCCCAACCCAATTTGCTTAGCATTTTTGGTTTCCTTAAATTGCCTGCACTCAAATAATATTTCCGAAGCCAATTAGGGCGGGCACACGACCGGCAGGAGGAGAAGGGGGCGTGGCGGCCACAAGGATGTGCACACAATTAGCATAATTCGCATGACACGCGACGGGCGACGGGTCGCATCGGTGGGCGGGGGGTGGGTGTATTTCCCGGCTGGAAAGTATCTTTCAAGTGTCGGATTGCCGCGAACTGCGCGTCTCAATTTACAATTTATGAAAATAGAATTTGCCACTGCCATTTTGATGAATTTTTGTTTGTCTCTCCCTCGGAGGACTCAGTGCCACCCGGTTGCAGCTTCTGTTTCATTTCAGCTCCCTTCATCGAATAATGGGGTAAGCCCCCCGCGTCCCCTCACTCGAGCTCTTTGCATGTCTGCCGCATCGTGTTTTATATTGCAGTTGATAATAATGCCAATAAATCAACGATACGCATACACAGGCCGCAGAACAGGCTGACAAAATAAAAAGCCAGCGACGATGATGAAAAGCAGCTTAAAATGTCATCTTTTGTGTGGCGGAGCAACAGGACGAGGTCCTGGACAGGAATACGCCAGTGGATGTGGATGTGAATGTGGATGTGGCAGTGGTTCTGGTTCTGGTTGTGGTTGTGGCTGCGCCAGAGGAGAATGAACTATGACTACTTACCGATCAATAATGACGGGGTCCGATGGCGTCTCGTTGCGGTTACCACAGCTCTTCTTATCACAGCAGCGGCTGAAAGGAAACAACAGTTTTGGATCAATTTCAACATATTTAACTGGAAAAGTATAGGTCTTAATGGTAACTAATTCAAAGGTCAGGAAGCATATGGAGTTGACTTAGCAAACGAAACACTATAGGCTTTCAGTATTATGAATAAATATATATGATATATTTTAGATATATTAGATATATTTTATATATATGTATTAGATAGATATTAGATATAGTATCATATATATTTCGTTTTTCATATTATATTACTATAATACAACTATAATACAACTATAATAACAAGTAAATATTATAGTAAATCAAATACTTCTTATCCAAACCGATAGATCATTGCAACTGGAGCTTCTCCATAGCACTCTACCCTTTATGGGGCTTCACACAAGTAAAGCTGTCTATAGGAAAACTCCCCCATACCACCAACTACAGCATAACCCAGTTCCACTGAACTTTGAAGACTTGCTTTGTAATGTGACAATTTCTGGGGGTCAGGCATTCGTCATTGCTCTGCACTTATTTCTTATCTGCATCTGTATACGCGCTCATATATCTATATCTCTACATATCGAGTTCAATGGCTGCGTAATTTTCGACTGCACAGCCCCTGGGCTGGATGTAGAAACAAAAAAACAGCAAAGAACACATCGAAGTAGGAAAGGGGGCTGGGGATGGTGGGTGGTGGGGGGTGGATTGAGTGGGCGAAACGGGTGGTTGAGGGTCATCTGGGGGTGGCATTTTTGGCTTGGACCCGGCTTTTGGCTTTTGGATTTTGGGTCTTCGCTGGGCATATATAACATAAACATGGATGACTGAAATGGGCGCAAAGCCAAAACGATAAAGAAGACGTCCTCGTTGTCCTGCCACTACCTCTATCGCTATCTCTATCGCTCTTCCCGCGCTCTTCTCCCCTCTCTCGCTCTAATGGGGGAGTCTGCAACCCCCGTGTGTGTGTGTGTGTATGTGTGCGTTGTCCCCTTGTTTTTGATAATGCTACGCAAACATAAAAACTGGGTGCCAATCCGAAATAATAAAAGATGGCCGGCCCAGCAACAACAACCAGCGGGCAGTGGTGGAGGCTCAGCGGGGGAGGGGATGGGGTAGCGGGGCTGGCGGTAAAGGGGGTGTAATTTTTGTTGTTGTTGTTCGGCTTTCTCTCGGCGAGTTTTTTGTTTCTTTGCTCTGCCGTTTTTATTTTCTACGCAACCTTCAACTGTCAGAAAGCTGCTAGAAGGGTGAACAGCAGCCCATGGGGCGGTGGGTGGTTGTGGGTGGTGCTGGGTGGTTGTGGGTGGCGATGAGGCGGCACGGTAGTCAACCATTTATACGTTTCAGCTCGCGTGCGTTTGAGCGTGAAAATAAAACGAAGGACACTCTGCCGCTCCGCCGGACGGAGCTTAAAAATCAACAAAATTAAAGCAGTCCCTGGAAGAAGCTTGGGGGAAAGCGTAGGAAAATCGTAAGAAAACCGAGGGAAAATCACGGAAAAAATACAGGCAGGCAAAACAAATGAGAGCTCAGGTCTCTATAATTTGAGTGGCTGTGGCCAGCATCCCTTTTGGATAAAAATGGCAAGTTTAAGAAGCTCCAGGGAGTCGGTTTCCGAATGCCCGCGAGACTTGAGATTTCGATTCGCAAGTCAGTGGGTAAAAGGTGTGGATGGGAATGCCAAAGGATATGAAATCACTGCTAGATAAGCACTCACCTGCACATCACCTCGTGCGTTAGGAGCACTCGACACATCTCGGGATTCTTGTCCTGACCCTCGTATATGATGGCCTGAAATTAGACATGGCAATGGGAAATGGAATATGAAGGTTATGGTTTTGCTATATAATAATATAAAGGCTCCTAATTGGATACAAGTATTTTTATACACGCTACTTTGGAAAATCCTTTTGGAAAATACAACTTATGTTAACTTAAGGCCTTACTAATTCTAATAGATAATAGATTTTCTTTCATCTCTCGATTTAAGGCAAAACACAGTTAAAGCTAATTGTTTTGACCAAACCTGAGAGATTAGAATCTCATGGACAATGCCCAATTAAGCCCCACGTGACCCCGTTGTTAACCCTCTGCCATCGACACCCGACCGCTCTACAAATTTGACCCCTATCCACAATCGTTTTGGGCTAAGACAAACACTCATAAATGCTAATTACAGAGCCACGAAAACTTTGAGCCAGCAAATCGACATATGGGACACAATGCAAATATTGACAATGTCCACATTTTTACCTCTGCATGAACATAATATCCGAGGGGTATTCGAGGGGGCGTTCTATTTGTGTTTGCCCAGTGAAAACGCCACTCGAACTGACTGTCTATTTGTTTGTTGTTTCCTCATTTCTGTGGGGGTGGTGTTTGTGGGCCAGGAATCGTGCCATGTGGAAGGAACAGCAACCGCAAGTGCAGCGTTGGGCAATCTGCTGCAATTTCCACAAGCCTCTCCTGAAGTTCCAACAACAAATAGATAAACAAGGGTATGAGGTGGGTTGGCAGACAAAAAGGCGCATAGTTCTCTAATTTAAAAATGATTAAAGCGGGTGTCTTCCTCTCCCCACCCCCCGCCCGCCCGCTGACCGTAATCCAACACTCATCCAGCGAATTAGTTGGCAAAAACACGGCATATGCGAGGGGTGAAGGACGAGGATGTCCTGCGGAGGGTGAGAGGATCATTCATCAACTGACGCAGATACACGCAAAAGTAATAACAATAACCGAGTGAGGAAGCCAAAAACCTGAGCCGTGTGTTCATCCACCAAAAGTAAAAACAGCAAAAAAGGAACAGAATGCGGCAGGAGGAATCCTGCCACTTGCCGTCAAGGACGAGTGGTTCCTCTGACGTCACTGGCATATGTGCATTTGTTTCCACTTTCGGCAGCGAAACTGTATCCCGGAATGATGAGCCCATGCACAGAAGCTGTGCCCAACCAGATAGATAATCAGAAATTAATTTTAATGCAACCAGCAGTAGTCCTCCAGCATCCCACCCCTGGTACATACATATATGAATATATATAGGGCCGCCCCCTGTTGTTTTTGGCATTAGCCTGGGCACATGTAAAATTATGATCATCCCTTATTATCCCGTTTGTCAGGTTCATAATTTCCCCGCTCCATGGTGAGTCCTGTAAAGGATCAGACAGCCCTCGATGGCCCAGCTCAATGTCCAATATCCAGCGGGATATCCAGCATTACGGCTCGAACTTTTCCGGACGCAGTGCAGCTAATTATAGGCCGGACTAGCATGGGATATCCTTTTTATCCCGGACCCGGGGTAATGGACTTTCAATGTTTTCCCGCACCGGACATAAAGTTTTACTGTCATTTTTTATGCGACAACTTGTAATTGTCACCTGTTTGCTTTCGAGTTCGCTGGGGAAAGGGGAATGTCCTTCAGATTTAGTTGGTTTCAGTTAAGGAGGTAGGTCCAAGATAACGACCGATCTCTAAGAATGGTAAATAAATCCAATTGGTCCATGAAACCAACCAAGGCCAAGTACTCCAGCCCAGAAAAAACCAACTTGCCTAAGGAGGGTACAAGCGGGAATCATCATCCATCATCCTTGCGGTGGGATGCAGAAACAAACAATTAGTTTGTATCCCGTACTCCGTGTTTTTGCCGAAATCCGAGGCTAAATGGCTCGTCTAATAGAAAAAACGGCAAACTAAACGAAAGCCACTAAAACTGGAGTAAAAGCGTTTAAACTACGATTTATCAACAGGACAAAGAACAGGAGTCAGCGGCAGGACAACAAAACAGCAAGAAAAAATGTGCAAAAAAAGCGAGTGATGAAGTGGTGACAGGACAGGCAGAAAAAGGACTCCACACGGGGCCGTGGGGGAAGGGGGGTTGCAAACAGGATGAGCCGAGGAAGCTTTTAAATTTTAAACGATTTTCCATCAAACTCGCAGCGAAGAGTCGATTTTTTCCAGCATTTTTGCAAATTGTTATTATCGCTTTTGGAATAAAATGAATCGACGCTCGCTGCATTATTCACGCACTTGAATGCTGCATGCTGCATGTTGCATGTTGCACATACTGCATATTTAACGTGCCAAATAAAAATCTCGCCAAACAAGATAAATTATCGCGGACAAAGGGGGGACTGCAAAAAATTTTCGCGAAAAGGGCACACAATAAAACAAAAATAAGCGAATAAAAAACCCATCGAGGGTAGCTCTTAATTTATTAAAGCTACATTTATCGGGGCAACGCATAAATTGCCCACCCAGAAGAAAGGACACCGACATAAAGGTTACCGCTGCAAGGACTCGTGCATCCTCAGCCACTCGTGCATTTCGCCGAGGGAAATGGGTGAAAAGCCTTTTTTGCCGCGCCCTTTCCTGCATATTTGCATATTTTTAGGGACACGGGATAACAATGTAATGCCAACTTCTTGAAAAATTACATAAACGAGCATATGGAAATGTGCACTTCCTGCAATACAAGGGTATGTTCCCATTGTTCATCTTTTTGTCTGTAAAAAGTTATGAATTATTGATTGTTTGCTATTCATGATTAAGACTAATAAAGGGAATTTGACCTTTCAAATAAACAGTCTATATTTATTGGGAAAATTAATATATTCTATGCTGTAAATTACTAGAATTACTAGGATGTTAAAAGATGTAATAGATTTTAAGAATGGAAGGTGCGTAACTCACGTTGCCCATTTATCAAAAGTTAAGATGGCTTTCACCCACATAACGCAGTGCATTTTGCACACCTTTATAAAACCGAAGGTCCCCCAAGGGACCCAAAAGAATTTCAAAGGGGAGTCCGCATGCATTACACATTTCGCATAATGAGGACGATATCATTTTTCCGCCTCTTTTCTCCCTCTCTCTCTCTCGCTCTCCCTCTCTCTCTCTCTCTGTCGCTCTGTATGCCATCTGCCCGTCTCTTTCGACCGCAGAAATGCACTTGCCGTGAAATAAAAGCATTTTTAATCGCATTGCGTGCGAAAGGGAGAGGTAGCGTGGGGAGGCCACAGGGCTGGGCGGGTGCGAGCGGGACGGACGGAGGGCGCACATGCAAATGTGGAGATTTCGCGCAATCTGTTGAATTTATTGAGTGGCCGGCGGCGCCAGCGACAACAACAATAACCATTTGCCATTAAGCGAGCTGTGCTCGTACAATTTGTTAATAATCGAAAATGATTCTCTCGGCTTTTTAAGTGTTGACATACAAATTAATTTTATCGCTTAATTAACACGCGCAGACAACAGCATGTGTGTGTGTGTGAGTGCAATGGCTATAGGATATTTAATGATGCTGCTTTTTCCGATTTTTTTTTAACCGTTAGTGGTTGGGTAAATCGGGTAACCGGTTGGCGGATCCTTGTTTTGGGCTCCTTTCAAGCACTTTATGTCTCAGTTATCGCAGTGCATTAATCGCCAGTTATCTGCCCTGTCTCTTTCTACCCCTCGAATGCCAACTATATCCATCTCTTTTTGGTTTAGGATTTCGATGCGCTTTTGTGCGTGCATTTGTGCGTTCTAATCGCGATAAGCGCAATTTTGGCAAAACACAAAAACCGGGTAAAAGGATTTGGCTATTGTTTTATGCCGGACCCTCATAGCACCACTCTATCCGCCGTCCGCTGATGAAAATGAAATATGATCGCCGAAATGAGGCGATTTTCCGTGCTACCATCGTTAGCTCAAATTGCAATTGCGACGCCTCCCGTTCGAACGGTTTTTGGCCGTTATCTGATCGAATGTAATTATGATTATGACCATGATTTGCTGCTGCATTCGCCCAAAAAAGGGGTTGCAAGGGTTGTGCGTCCATGCCGCTGCTTTTCTCCTTTTTTATATTTTTTTTTATTTTGGTCTTGCCACGTGGATGCCAGTTGACAATTGTCCTGCCCTCCTGCCATTTGTGAGTGAGACGATTCCGCCTTAATCGCATTCGGCCCGCCACAGTTCCCAGTCTCGAGTTACAATCCCACTTGCTGAAGATAACACTCGCTTATCCCCGCCTTACCTGTTACGCAATCCGATAAGGAAAAGCGACACGCGACAAACGAAATGTAAAATTCAAAAACAGCCAGTCGAAAACAAAGGGTCTGTAAAGAGGCAGCCGAACCCACCTAATCCGATCAAATGATTGTTCTTTTCCCAGCTTGCGACACTTTTCAAATGGGCACAAACTCGTACCGCAGTGCGATTTTCCCAGGTTAGGGGTAGTTACATCACAAGTACGCCACAAGTCAAGCGGAAATGGGCAATTGAGTGACAGCAGCGAAAGGAACTAACCAGGATGTAATCGTGATTCTTTGAAAATATACCAAGTTTTTCTTCGGAAATCTTATTTGGCCGCATGACGTGAAACATATTTGAATATCAGAATGTATAGTATGATAATCTACAATGAGTAGCCATCTGGGAATCTTTCGCATTTAGTCCGGAAATTCGTATGTTTCCTTAAAGACCCATTAAGTGGCTTGTAATTACTCATTTATATTATTAAAGTAACTTGCGCTATTCAATTTGTCGATAAGGCTTAATTGCCTAAAACAATGCCCATAAACAGTCGTCTGCAGCCATTTTCTTATCAGCAAAGCCTACAAAATTTAACAGAACTTCAGAGAGACCTTTACTTACGTACATTTTTTGTGTGTGATATTTTTAGCAAATTCAATTGATGGCGGCTCAAATAATTTTGCGATTAAATTGCATTCGCCAAATGGATTTGTCACCATAAAGTAAAGAAAGGGGGCGATGTCGCATGCTGTCGATAATTTGTGGACAAATTTATTGCGCGCTCGTTTCTGATGCGAACGGGCTAAATGGGCAAGAAACGCCCACAAAAGCGGAGGGAAATCGAGAAAAGCGGGAAAAGCGAGGGGGTTAATGGGGAAGATATGTATGTACGTCGAAAGGAGCGGACCAATGTCTATAAAAATTTGTCACTCGAGAAATTAATTGCCCTTGAAAAGGCCCAAAAAGGAGAGGACAGAAAAGACCTGGCAAGGCATTAGGCCCACAAAAGCGGACATATGGTGCACCAGGACTACAAGGACTAGAAAAATGCCCCAGGACCTGCACGCACCCACAACAAAGCGCATTAACAATGTTCGATCCCCGTGCGATTCTCTCGATTTTCTCGCTTTTCTCGCTTCTCACTTCCCTCGTTAGCCCCGGTCACACCCCTTTGGTCCACGCGGAAAAGTTGGAAAAGCCCGCTTGGAAAAGAGCTGCTCGTTTGACGACTCAATTTATTGGCCAAAGGACACACCAGGACACACTTAATTAGCCATGACAATCAATTTCGAATGCAACTTATGCTCGAATCAGCAAAACAAACATCGGAGCAGAGGAAAATGCACGGAAGCAGCCAAGTGGAAGGAATTGGTTTTTCATAGCCTGGTTAACTTTGCCTTAATTTGCAGTGAGCGGCGTGTTAATCAGGAAGTTCTTAATTTATGTAAGTGCCAATCGCAGGATGAATTGCAAATTTTGTAAGTGGTTTTGAAGTTGTCATGTGCTTACAAAGCTTGTTTCGAGTTTTCTGTGGAGCAAATCGCACAATTTATTCAAATAAGTTGCTGGGGTGTAACTCCTTGCAGGATTAAAACTTGAGTTGTTAGGAATATATACATTTTCTATGATTTCTTAAGGGTGTCCTGCAGCTATACCTGTAGCACTACTTGTTTTAATAAAAAAAAATATATGGAAAATTTTTGGACTCACCTGCTTGGTCACCGAATCGATGAGTCGCACGAAAATGTCCTGCTCCTGGCGAGCGCCTAGAAACGGAATACAAGTCACGATCATATAGGGTTCCAAAGCACTTGATGGCATTGTATAGCACACTCACCATTCGCGTAGAGCAACTGCAGCCGGTACTGGATGCCATTGTTCGTCTTGGTGGCGTCCGACTCCGAGTCCTTCTCGATGAATCCAATGAAGGCCGTGCGCTCGATTTCGATGGGCTGACCAGCCCGATCATATAAGGCGATCACGAAGTGGAAGAAGTTCGACTTGCGCAAATTGCTGGGCGGCTGCTTCTCAAAGTGGGCGCGGCCGATGCCCAGACTGCAATGGATCGAAAGCGAAGAAAAACAAAACAAAAATGATGGGAATTAGTGAAATGTATTACATGGGCAGAGGCAGTAATTATGCCATTAGTTGGGTAAATATAGAGTCGGCCTAAAGAGCCTCTAATTGGCAGCGAGAGTCTAGTTTAGTGGCCAGAATTAGGGGCAACTCAATTAGACTGGAGAGTGACATTCGGGCAGCAGCTCAGTGATGTGACAACTATCATTAAAAGCGCATAAGCAACATCAACGTGACACAATAATCCTGATGTATGACAGTCCTTGTTGTTCGCCGTGCCGCCCCGCCCCGCCCGCTACACTTGAAATATTTTATATACTCGTACACTCGCACATTTGCTGTATGTGGGCCAAGCAGACAGTGGGCAATTATCGCTGGCAGGACACGTGGACACTGAGCCGCAGACGGAAAAAAGGCTTGTCCTTGCCCCACCCCCAAGTGCATATGCTAAATGTCAGGACTTCGTGTGCCCCCTAACCCTCCCGCTTCCATTACCAACAGTCCTCCTGTCAGCGAACAATTACCGGACAATGTCGGGCTGTAAGGACTAAGGTAGGGTCCTGTGCTCTCTTCGCTGTATGCATAACGAACAATTTAATTTAGAAAATGCTGATTTTATCAGATTTTTTTGTATTTGCGTTATTTCCTGCACTATTTATGTGCTGCTCCTGTTTGCACAGGCAATGTCAAGGAGCCGCATGTCCTGGCTGGCCAGCTGACTCGGGGGTCCTGCAATTATATACACATTTGCCAAAGGATAATGTCGCCATCAGCTAATGATAGACTCCCTGCCCCTTTCCCACTCCATCGAAAGTGCAATCGAATTGCGTCCTAGTTATTAAATAAGTGCTCGGATACCCAGTGGATTTGGTGGACAATTTTATCAGTCGGTACTTGGATTTGCCTTTCTGCTTTTCATCAGCTCTGATTGCCTTTCATCGGCTGAGTGATGCGATTTAGCGAGTCATGGAGGGAGCTTTGATGGAACTCCGCCGAAGAAGTAGGTGGAATATTAGGTATTCCCAATCTCTGGGGGGTTACAAATTTTAAATAGCTGTATGTTTGAACAAACAGCTTCTGGCATAATTAAAATTGTAGCACCAATAGGTTTTCGCAGTCTGCGATTTAATATTTGATACTATGCAGCCACTTTTTCATGATACCCACCGCAATTTAAGAGGCTTTAAGTGACGAGAATGCTTATGAGAAGTGAGCGCTTAAAATAACATGAAATACATGCGGATAATGCCCCTTGCGGACTTCGAGTGAATCTGAATACGAATTTTGCGAAGGAAACAAACACATTTTGCGGTGCTAAAGTTGATTCACCCACAGGGTGATATCAAATTAAGAGGCAGAGAGGTGCTCTGGGGGAGAAGCGGAAGTTCAATGCGATTTTCACCGGCAGCAGTCACCTTTGTGGGCGGAAAAGCGGTGGCAAGGTGGTGCCAGTGTACGACATACGAATGCCAGACATGTTACATTCTGGTGAAAGGTTATTGTTATGGCCAGGGAGCGGAGTCGAGTGTTCGGAAAGTGAGCAGCAAAATAATGCCGAGTACATCCTGGCAAATAAAAAACTTGTACCCCCTCAACCCCGTTTTCTTTTTTATTTTTTGGTTTTCCATTTTTTTGCCGTTTCCTGTTGACTTTTCAACTCGACTGGCTGGAAATTGTGGAAAATCGTTCTGCGGCAGTTTGCCAGCTCACTTTGTTTGCACTTGCCGCCAATTTGCCACGGAGTAGAGCAGCTAAAAAATAGATATAGAACATTTTTGTGGCCGTTTTGCTGTTGATTTTATTATGCCAACATTTAATTGTCGCAAATCGATGCCCAGGTGGCCGTCAGGAAAAATAGCAGAGAGGTGGAAACTGTGCACCTTGGTGGTCACGTTTAGTCTATTTCTGGGCAGGCACGTGAAAATTCGCTTTCCACACATGCGGGCCCTTTAAAAAGGCGACTTTATTGGTGGCACAAAGTATACTCATTGTTTAAGGACACTTTACGGCCATTTGTTGCAATCTGGAGCTGGAGCTGTAGCTGCTACCATTTCTTCTCCCTGGACAATCTTTGTTGAAATAAATTTTCGAATATTCCTCTGATTTACGAGCAGCGACAAGAAGTACAACACACCATTGTGTGTGGTTTATGCACTTTGTTTATAGTAGAACATTGTTTCTGCTGTTCCAGTTAGATGGACTGATAAGTGTTTAAATAAATGGGTTGCCACAAACATATTGAGCAATTATCGGAATTGCGGAGATTTATTTGTCGCAAAAGTTGCGTACAAATTGTAATAAATCCAAAATTCAAATCACAAAAGTTTACATTATTCTTGGTGCTGAGGGAAATGAATTGGGATATAAGTTTTATATTTATTTATTTAGTAAGGTTTCAAATTTGAAAAGATTGTGTAATCATATCAAAGTTAAATTCGCCAACATGATGGATACGACTCTTTTGAGAACTTTACTTTCAAGGCAAAAATAAAAGTGTAAAAAATATCGTGTACTTTTAAAATCACTCGGTTGCTTAAAAAGAATGATAACTTGGAGTTGTTTAATATTGCAGCTTTTTTTGCATATAATCCGAGGTTTTTTAATATACTAAGTGGTTCGAATTGAGCAAAATATGTTTGCTTTGTCATTAACTTTTGATTGCTTTTAATGTACTTGAGTTTTGCACGTTTAGTTGAACACTTGGCTTTTATAAACAATCAAATTTACGTTGTTTACCACATGAATTTCAAATATCGTTTTCTATGCTTCAATTGCATACTAGATTTCACCAAAACTTGTATCATTGCATAAAATATAGTTTTCATAGAAGTTCTATGCTTCAATTTCTTACTAGACTTTGCACTAAATTATAATACCATCACAACTTGTTTACCTCGTATCACAGCGCATTGTCTTATTGTCTAATGTCTGATTGTGATTATGATTCTGATTGGGATTGTCCTGCCTCTGGATGTGATTATCGAGATGGTGATGTGGGTGTGCGTGTGGGTGTGGGTGGGAGTGCTGATTTGCCGCCGCTGAATGAACAAATCCCGCTGTCATTTCGCTCTCGCTTTCCGTTTGGGCAACTCGCGCACTTCTTCTCGGCGCGAACATCTCACGCCAGAAACATCTCAAACGCAACTAAACAAACAAGGACCAAGAAAAATAAAAGCTTTTCCCGAGCAACCCTCTGTTGGGGGTCCTTTTTGTCCTTGAGTGGAGAGTGGAGTGACTTCTTGGGAGTCGCTTCATTTGGATGAGGCGAAAGTGAAAGTCAAAGTCCAAATAACATCCCTTTTCGGCTCAAAGTTCCCCGCATTATCGCTCCCCATGTAGTATCATCCCAAAAAGTGCGTGAACCCAAACATTTTGAGTGGGAATTTCGAGTGAGTCTGGATCTGAATGGACGTACTTTGTTTTTGGGGTTCATCTTATGGCCCACAGGGTGGGTGGCGGCCATAAAAACTCGCCCACTTCCCCGGCTGACTGACTGACTTACTACGTTTCGGAATCGCTCCCCCAGGGGCCTCCATATATTGTTGGACTTGGACACACGGGATGCCGGCTTTGGCCAAAAGTAAACAAACGCACTTTTTTTTTCCTTCAAAGTCTTCCCTTTTTGGAGACTTCTTTTTGTTTGGGCTCTGTGTGCGTGTGTTGCTGAAACATTGTTGCCGGCACTTTGGCGCGTTTTCTCTTGGAGATTGGAGATTAGGGGAGAGATTAGTAGAGATTAAGTGGGTTTCCCGTTAAGCCCACCTTGTTACATGTCAACAATGAATGCTGATGGGCCCCTCGTTGGGCGCCATATAGTAAGCGACATTTCTTATGGGCTTTGTGGCTGCTTATTTCATGATCTAAATTGTCTAGTAGCAAGCTTAAGATTCTGAATGGAGTAATGCCTAAGTTTATTATCGATACGACATGTATTGATCCAAGTTTATTTATTGCAATTGGAAAGCACGTTTGGCAGACAAACACCTTTACATTTGCAATCTTACATCAAAAAGAAATTATGGATACAAAAAATCTGCATTATTTAGTAGCAAATAGAATGAAATTATGTTATCCGAATTTCCTGAACTCATAAACTAATTAATGAGGCTTTGACATCACTACTATTCACCAAATCTACTCTTATTTCAGATTTAACTTCATACACACAGAGGTCTGCCCACCATTCAGATTGGATTGAACACTTAAGCACATTGAAGATCACTATTTATGTACTGTTTGGGTCAGTTTTTATAGATTTGCCCAATGGCTTTCGAGTTTTGGTCTTAGCACTGGGAAGATCACTTTATTGGGTCAATTTCGGGTCATCAGTTAACCCAAGCCCGTCACTTACTTGCTCTGGTCGACGACTGGCTGCATGGCCCACCGGCTGCCCAGCGGCTCCTCCTTCAGCGAGGTCATCGGTCCGCGCGGCTGGTTCATGTCCACGGCGGCGGTGGGCGGCAGGCCGAACATTAGGCCGCCGGCGGATCGCGGACCGGAAACGGCACTGGGGTACAGCTTCCGGCCCCACTCCATGCCCAGCTCCAGAGTGGGCCAGGGGGAGGCCGAGCTGAAGCCCGGCACCGGCTCTTCGGAACGCAGCTTGAAGCCGTCGGTGGCGAACGGATGGGGGTGCGGATGTGGATGCGGATGCGGATTCGGATGGTGCGAATGCGAGTGCTGGTGGAGATCAGCGTACGCGGCGACGTCTCCTCCTAATCCTGCGCTGGAAATTGTGGCTGCCGTTTTGAAGGCTCTTTGCTAGGCGTTTTACTTTTGTTTAGGTTTTTATATTTGTATTTTTTGTATAACTCGATCGGTTTGCGGTGTGGTATCGGGTTCCCTTTTCTATTATTTGGGTTCTTGGTCTCCGGAGAGCTGGCAATCAATCGCGAAACGAAAGTGAGACAGGGTCTCTGTGTGTGTGTTTGTGTGGGTGTTTTTGGGTGAACTGGCCAATGCACCGCAGAGAATTTGGGATTTTCGGAAAATTGGTCTCGCAACAAGTTTGAGCGGCGCGCGCTACCGTCCCGAGTGGCTGTTAAACCCCAACTGAATCCTTGCCAGCGATGCTGCTGCAGCAGTCGAAAAGAAGCGGCGGCGACGGCGCAGCAGCAGCAGCAGCAGCAACAGCGGCAGCGCCGCAGCAGAGCCGCAAAGGCGGCCGTGGCAGAAGAAGCAGTAGAAGCAGGGTAACACGGCAGGCCAACGAGAGTTTCGAAAATGGAAACGAAACGAGTCTGCGCCACTGGGAGAGCGGAGAGAGCGTGCCGCAGGGGGTGGGGGTGGCGGCAGTCCAATGGCCAATCCCGTGGAGAGACGCAAAGCTGTCAGCAGAAAAAAGAACCCACCACCATCCTATGGCATCCTAATGGGAGCGAGCGGGAGCGAGAGAGAGAGCGAGCAGCCCCCTAGGAACGGTGCGAATGGAACCAGCGCAACGACGTCCCCAATCGAAGGGGGCGTGTGTCTAGGATCTCGGTTTTGGGGCCTCGGGTCTCCATTTCAGGCTTGGCTTTATTCTCTATTCCCAGGCACCTTTGGTGCAGCTCTTTTGGGAAACCAAAGTGTCAACGCCTGCAAAGACAAAGCCAAAGGCAGCAAACGCAGGGCAACGAAATGCAAAACACACTAGCGAAACGGTAACTAAAACCCACAACCAAAAACCAAAATCTCTGGGGAGCCCAAAAGGCAAATGCCATTGTGTGCGGTGCTCAAACCTGATTGGCCAGTTGGGCGTGCGACTTCAAGAGAGAGCGGCGATTCTCTTCAGCTGTCGGCAAAGCAGTTCAAAGACCAAGCAGCGCCTAGTTACGCGGAACGGCAGAGAAATATTGAAACCGCACATTTCGACGTCTAAAAATATTCAGTCGTGAAAATGGAGAAACTCCAGTCATAAGTCCTTTATAATCATAATAAAGGATTTTTTTGGTATGATTGTATTTATAATTTATTTGTTAATTTTGTATATTTTTAAAATATATGTATATTTTCCATATGACTAAACTTATGAATTTTGAAATGAGAAATAAAATATTAAAAACACATAAATAGGGCTTTTATAGGAAATTGTAGAAGATACTTGTTATATCAGTCTTGTACTAAATTTTTAACGTAAGTACATTAGCAATGTTCTGATATTAAATATTATTTAACCATACATATATGTATATAGTTTTATTACTGTTGTTCACATGCTTCCTTTTATAACTCGACTTTTGTTTTGTAATTGCTGTGAGCACAGACTTGATTAGTCATTATTTTCGGGTTTAACCCTTCTGACTTTCGCACATTATCCAGGCAGAAGAAGTTGTCAAACACCGTGGAGTGCCTATAGGCATACCCTCCGCATCCACATGCCCCTTCCCCTTCTTCCAGCACGGGATTAGTTACCGGTACCGCCCACAAAATTTTCACGCCTCGTTAGGAGAAGAAAAGGTGAAAAGGTCAGGGGATGGCAGTGGTTTTTGAGGTTCTGGGTCTGGGTTCGCATGAAAAACAATTTGCATTTTCCGCATTTGCGGTTTCTGCCTGTGACCGATTGAATGAACGATGGAAAGAGACAGAGAGAGAGAGAGAGACAGAGTTTGTTTGACTTTTCCGTGAATTAATTTGAGGGGCGTGGTAATCTCATTAACTTCTGACAAGGCCCGCAAACTCCGTTAGCCAAAAGACGGCAACTCTTTTTTCCGAATTTTCCCCACACCCACACTTGTTGGTCTATTTTTGAGAAGTTGAGAAGTTCTGGAAACATTTCCCCAGAGCTGAGGGCACACATTTTATGTGTAAATCAGAGGCGAGAGGAGCAGACAGAAGATGTCCCCAGACATCGCTAATTAACCAAAATACCCAGAAGGAAATTCCACGCCCTTTGACAAATAAATTTTCTTTTTTCCGCAAAGGTGAAGAAAATTCCCCGATCCAAAAGCTGTGGTCCGCGTGTTCGATTAACCCCTTTTATCGCGCCCAATCCTCTGTGGAGTTTTCCCGGCTGCGACAGCTGTCATGGAACACCATGACCCCTTAACCCATGCCACCCCCTGTTTCGGCGCTGATGCCCCCGGAATTTGATTCAAATTGTTTACAATTGGATTTACATGGCGCTGGACTAGCACTAGCCAATTGCTAAATAATTTGTTGGTACACTCCGGTTTTGATTTTTACCCAACCCCTTGGTGACTTAGAGGATTACTGAGGGTTGGGAAATGGACAGTCGGAAGGACTCTCATCACCACAATAACACTTTTGTCAATTAGCCAGAGGCACGGCTCTTTGACATAAATAAGCGGATTTGTAGACCAGGTACTGGTTACCATATACATACACATTAAACCTAGAGACGAAAGTCACTTATCCAAGTAGAAGTTTTTAAGTAGTGTATGTTTACATTTGGCTCATCAAATAAACGCTTTTTTATGCCCCATATTGGTACTATGAAGGGACTTACACTATGTGCACAAGAAACCTCTTCTATTTCCGATTTGCTGGTGGAAACCCTCATCCTTTTCCTGCGACTTCACATCCTGCGCCATCTTGAAAGGAACCATGAATAATTCCAATATGCAAACTGAGTCGCATGTAAATGTCCCATTTGTCACTCGTAAACAAAAAATAAAGGAGCAGGAAAATGAGAAGGAACTGCAGGCGAGGATCTCAACTCCGTCCATATGCAAGACATTCACAGGGTCATAAATAAGGGCGAGCGGAGGAAATTTGAGGCGCGAACATTTTAATTAGTTTCCAGCTCGCTCTCGAGTGTGTCCTTTCGGTTCCTGGGGCCAGGACACTTATGCAAATTACCCGGGGCCCGACTAATGAGAGGGGCGGCCAACACACCGTGGAAATAAATCATATTTAGCTACAGATGGAGGGAAAATCAATGCCTGATTTCCACAAGTCATCATCGCCACATCATTGTCGTGGGTTCGGGGGAATTTCGGTTTATTCTCCACGGACTGCGACAGATGCCAGCGATTCATCCAAGTACGCATGACATTGTTGCATTGTCCGCCGATCGGAGACCACCAAAGTTTTCGATTCCTAGGAATTTTCACCAGCCAGCAAGCCAAACAGCCAAACAGCCAACCAAAAAACCCACCCAACTGCACTTGCCGCAGTTTTGAAGCAAGTGCTCAAGTGTTTGCCACTCCATTTCGAGGGCACCAAACTGGACTCGAGTGGCACGTGGCACGGGTAAAAAAGCCAAGTAAATTTAATTAAATTATCTCAAACACGTGTTTGACCAACTGCAACGATTTTGCCAAAACAATCGCAACCAGTTTAAATATTTACCCAGTTCTCGGCCTAAACGTTCTCATGAGGGTAACTCCACTATGCAGCTGTGTATCTGTATCTGTGTAGAAAAAAAGGTTTCGTTTACATAAGAACAACAACACACCCCTTGTTGTCTTCAAAAACACAACAACCTTTCTTCAGATTTATTATTTCAACAAACAGAAGGTGAATCGTGTGGGTTAGGTGCACAATTTCTTCCCACAAACATTTTCGCACTTGCCAACTCTGCGATGGGAAAAAAACCCGTTTATCAGTCGAATAAAAATCGCAAAAAATCATAAATATTTACAAGTCTCGCTTGGCGATCTCAGCCGCTCGATAAGCATTTTTGTGGCCGGTGAAAACAACGTGGCCATAAACATGAAATTATTTTTCAGGCTGGCCAAATATGTGGAATCCAACGCATCAAATGCGAGATTGGAAAAGTGCGGCTGGTTCATTAACTTTGGCGCGCCAAAAGATCGACTTGTGGCCAAAAATAGTTAGCCAAAATATCCGAAAATAAGAGAAGTAAAGGGAACTTAAGTTGGATATCAAATTCAAAGATATATCAATACCGCGTTTGAAGTTGTATGCATTTTAATGAGTATTACAATATTGCTTGTATTGTATAAAAGATCAAATTGAACTGAGCGTAATTGCTTCAATTTTCAATAGTAAAATCTATAAATTGCTTTAGTTTGCATTTAACTAAATTCCAAGTAGAAGTTTCCCCAAAAAGTGCTGTAAATACAACGATGTAAACTTTTATGAGCTGCTCGTCGGCGGATGGAATTCATGCATCTCATTTGGGGTTTTAGTGCAGCTCCCCGAGGGGCAACCCTGCCCATTTTCCACGCCCCACTCCTCCGCCAGCTGGAGAAGCGTGTCAGCATTGGGGATCCTCTGGAGAACCACAAAAACGCGAACCCACTCCTGGTTCGGGCGGAATGAGCTGCGACACATTTACTAGATTAATTAGCTCATTTACGGTTGGCAATGTCCGTGTTAATTCCCCAAGAATTAAATGATAACATCATACGAAGTGGACGAAAAGGTGTTCTACGTGTCAATGAAATGGCTTGGCAAATGCCCGATGACACTAATGCGCTTGTTTGTAGGGGCTTTTCACTGGGTCCTTGTAGGGGTAGTGGTAAGTGAAGTGCAGCCGATTTGCATAATTCGAAGGACCAGCAAAGGACGCACCCTTCTCTGTTCCAACGCCCAGCTAGTTTGAGCCACTCACACCTTCCCTGATCATCTTTTCTGCACCCCATCTCTATGTTCCCACCCCCCTTTTCCAAGTACACAGACAGAAATTAGACAGTGGTAAGAAACTTAGATCACAACGATATATTTTCCATACTAGAATATGATAACTAACCATGTTACTAAAATGATGTTAATATAACACAGAAATGAAGAACTGCAAGGTCTAGCTTGTATTTACCCCATATATTTTTCGCAGTGCACGCAGGCAGAAATATAATTTGACTTCATTATGCGAACAGTTGTTGCCTTTAGTTTTGGTAATTTATTTCAATTTTTTCAGTCCTCCGCGTTTCGAGTCTGCCGTGGGCAGAAAGGGGTTAATGCTCCTGGAGTGCAACCCCTGTAATAAATAAGTATCTAGGTCCTGCAAACGTTCATTTAACTGAAGTGTGTGTGTGTGTGTTTGGAGGAAATGCCTCAAATGTTTGGCTGTCGCTGCCATTGTTGCAATTGTAATTTGTTTTTATTGTCGCTTATTGTGTGCAGAGCGAGGATTTCGGGAGGATTTTGGCCAAAAAGATGATTCTCAGCAGTAGGCGAAGAACTAGCCTATCACAACATGGATGCCAGCATTCCTAATTAATTTTTGTGAAATTTTCAAATCTCATCGGACCCAAAAAAGAAATGAGGAAGCTGGCAGGACTAAGCGAATCCCGAGGGGGCGACCTTTTTGGCCATTTAGTCTCAGTGTCGGCCGCAAACAAACTGGCTAACAAACAAAAACAAACAAGAAACTGGTAACGAACTAACGGTACAGCTCTGGGCCGTGTTTCGATACTGGACATCTGCACTTTCGGTCAGACATTTTGGAAAACAAGGATATTGACACTTATCTTCGTCTCATTCTCGACGGTTTCTCAGCAGAGTTAACAGCCAATCCCATTCGCAGTCCTCTCGAAACTTCAGTTTTGTGCTCAGTCCTGCTCTAAAGGACATAACCATGCATATAAATTTGATTATTATTAAGTCGGGCACATTAGTGCGCATTTCTGATGAATGGAGTCGAGCAGATCCTTGTGCCCCAAAAAAGGGTCAGGCCACAGACACACCCCACCACCGTCACATTCCAGCTTGTTAAAGCCAATTTATAAATACTCAGGTTTATGGTTTTAAGTGCTTAAATATTTAGCACACTTCTTGGCCTCAGACTGCCCCTCTCCCTCTCTCTCTCTGCATTTATACACCCCTCTCTCTCTCCACGTGTGTGAGGCTTTTATTCATAATTTATGCGTCCGCAGGGCGACACTCATTCGGTTGTGAGTGGGCGTGGGCGTGAGTGCACTCATTAAGCAGCGGATGTCCTTAAGGGCAAATGAGCCAATTTAATTTTAGCCGGGCGTATATTGCTGAATGGATAGGTACACAGTACTCCTTTCCCCCTGCTCCTTAAAATCTCTTTATAATACACTTTTTGTGAAATATGCCACATTTTTGCAATACAACAGTTATACTTCTATCTATCACTCATGATTAATAACCGAAACATCTTTTTCCCAATGAGGCAACACGAAATGAGCAAATTCAATCGGGCTAAGTGCTGTACGCCCTTTTGAACTTACCCCAATTCAAATTTTTGTAGAACATTATGCGCTGCCATCGAAGTGACCTGATTAATGAAGCCATTCCGATTCCGGTGTTCAGCTTAGCGATTTCAATTATCGGCCATGTAAGGCGGGGTTGCATCTACAAGGGGGTGGGTGGGCGTGGCAGACGACCGCCGATTAGCACGTGCCACTCGTTCCGTTGCGAGCCAAATCGTAGGACTAGCTGGCCAAAACGCAAGGACACGTGGCAGGAGCGCAGCTTCCAAAGATAAACATAATTATGCAATCCAAGGGGGGAAATGGCAACGGAAAGTTGGCCAATCTGATAACACGCAACGAGATTTGTCATCATCAAACAAAGTGGGCGTGAAAATTGCGGATGAAAACGAGGCAGGTCATCTGATCGGCAGGAAGGCAGCGCGGATGTAAGGATGTAAGGATGCAGAAGGACACGACGCAGGCTTCCTGCCCGGATGCAATCATGTCCAAGGCGTGTGCGCGAAATATCCTTTGTTTGCGTTTCCCAGGACTCGGCAAAGCGGGCCAGCGAAAGACAGTCGGAAATAATTGCACAGCAGTCAGGATAATAAAGATACCGTGGTCCAAGTACATTATCGGAATTGATACGCCTGCTATATCTGGCATATGCTAGTCGCAGTGGCTATATATCCTCAGAGGGCGGAGTAGGCTGGCTAAATTTGCCGATTCAGGTCGCGTTTGTTCGCCACCAACCTCAATGCATTTCACTTTGTCGTTGACTATCCACTTACACTGCGATAAAATGCATAGTCTATGGTGGGAAAAAAGTTTTACTCAGCCTGTGGTCTTGGTAAAGGGAAAAAGGATCAAAGAGGATTGTAATATTTTTATAAGATTTAAATATTAAATAATATCACTCATATTCATTAATGTTTGTAGTATTGCAAGTTTACAATCCCTACTTTTGTGGTTTGTTAATATCAGACTTAAGTGCTCTTAAATGTGACCGACTTTATAGAAAGAATAGTTTGTCTGAGATTCACATTCCTCCTTAATCTGCGTTGACTTTTTAGCTTGCATGATCTCAAATTCTTTGCGGTGTAACTTCAATTCCTCTGACCATCACGTAGTTCATCAGGCAGCTTCTCTTGGCCTTTTGTCCTGGTTCCGCATTAAAGTTTCATTTGGGTGAGGCCACTTGGCATGCGAGAGCGTCACTTTTGACCTGGCTGAAAGGATACTAATCATAGCACTGCCTCCATGAGCAGCGTCCTGGGCACATCCTCATCAGGCTGATTGCGAAAAATCACTGGAGAAATCAGGCGAGGTTCGTGATTCCATGCTGACATATCTAGTGAAGTGGATTTGGAGTGGTTTTTCCAACCCACACATTCAAGTGACAATCACAGTCAAATTTTGTCGACTCTTTTGTGTATTTTTAGGCGAAAAATAGAAAAACAGAAAAACATTGAAAATCAATTTCACTTGAGGGAGGTTGATGCTAAAAAGCAGATTGTCATTTGGTCCCCATTCCGAAAAATGCGAAACATTAAACAGATTTGGCCTTCCGATTTGGTTATATTATTTCCTTCAGCTGTTTCAACAATTCATATTTTCCGCTGATCCCCAGAGATGCAGGAAAATCATCAATGGCGGCCAAAGTAAATCAAATGGAACTTTATTTGCTCTTTAAATGTTTGGTTTTATAACTTGTAAGTTGAGTACCTAAGGCCGGAAAGTGGGAAAAATTAAAACAAAATAGTTGGCCGTAAATCAGGCGGAGAAGCGAAGCCGGTTTTGGCACTTTGGCCAGGATCTAATACCCATGTCCTGTCTGGCGATGAAAAAGGGGGCGGTGCTCCGTGTCCCAAGTCGGCTGTCAAACATAATCACCTTGCCGTCCCCCCACAGAAGTTCTATTCTCAAAGGAAATTTATGTTTTTTATATGGGGGGCGAGCAGAGACAAAAGTCTGTGTGTGTTGAAAATATATTATTTTGCTTTTTACCCGCCCTGCTCCTTCATTTTTTAACACATTTTGTAATTTCAACACGTTGCCACGTACCGCAAAACTTTCTTCTCCTCCAAAGTGTCCACCAATTGCAGTGCCAGCCGCCTGTCCACCACTCGGACTCGAACTCGGACTTGGATCTGGACTCGGATGATTAATGGTTCCGGGTCGCCGGGACAGGCTCCGAGTTGGCTGGGCCAAATAATAAATCGTTCAAATCGGCTGGGGATTATTTTTCCGAGTAGGCGGCGGCCAGCATTTCGCTCTGTCACCATTTTTGCGGAAAAAATGGAATTTTTCCTTGTCTTTTTCGCATTCAATATTTGTACATATTTTTGCCAGCGAACGTGTGCGAAATTCAAAAATACTTCTGCCCAACAAATGGCAACAAATTCGGGGATTTCAATTAGATTAATATAAATCCAAGGAATTGAATCTTTTGATGTGTTCAAAGAAATATTCGAATGGGGATTGTGGATGGGCTTAAGTAGTACGTGAAATATTGGTAATATTTTACTGACAAAACTACAGATGTCTATTTAATTGTAGTTGTTATACTACTTTATATCACCATAACGTAAAAATGTGTATATGCAGTAATTAAATATAATAATATCTTAAAAGTCCCCAGATCAAGCGTTAACCGGTTAATTTAAAGGATTTCCTGGAACACATATGTATATGATAATGTAAAATGAAATGACAACATTTGTTTTCATTTGGTCAGTAGAAAATTCCACCAAAACCAGTTAGTTTCGAACAGATGGAACGGTAAAACCGAGCAAGATATAATATTATTAAAATTCATAAAATGCATAAAAAATTCATAAATTAGTGGACGCATGCCGGTCATTAAACAAATTAAGGCATATAGTTTAGCTGAATGCTCGCGAAAGTAGAATGCATATATTTGCGATGCCCCGTATTTTAGGTGTTGGCCACGTTGTAATCAGGTTATTGCCCCAAGCCAACGAGAAGAAGTTCGAGAAGTTCTTTATGGCCAAACACGAATCGGGTCAAAAACAGCGCTCAAGGCGCAGACTGGCTGAGAACAACAATAAGGAAGAGCGAGGGCACTTGGCCAATTTACACAAGCTGGCCAAAACAGCTCGGCTCGTTATTCGTTCATAGGCGTTCGAATGTATAATGCGAAATACAAATAAAGTGAAAACAAACAGAACTGAAATCCCCAGTTGGCGCTTGGCTGCCTCGTCATTCCTCATAATCATTAACTTTTCGGTGGATTTATTTGAGAGATAAACTCTGCGGCGGAGAGAAAATTAACTGAGAGCTGTGATGTTATTAAACTTATGAATCATTGGGCCCAACTTAACGTTTATGAGCCACAGCCAAACCTCTAAAAGCCCGGCTCTTATTTTTTGTATTTGTTTATTGTTGAGTCTGCCGGTGGAGTTATTCGCCAACTCTAGTGCTTGTTTGACGGCTTCTGCTTGTTCTTCCAGCTTTAGATGATAATGATGTTGATGGTTCGCACTGCGTCAGCGTTCGAAATTTCCATATAAAAGCGCTAGGGAGCCGCACCGCGAGCTTAGTCGTTTTGGAACTTTTCACGCGTTCGCTGCCTCAGTCTTTCGTTTTTCATTTCGTTTGTGAGTGCTGCGCCACAGATAAGCCCTGCAGTTCGCCGCTAAGCCAACGCCTACTAAGTGCCCAAGTGTGTTCTTACAGATCCATCCCGCTTCACAATGAAATACGCTGTGATTGCCATCGCCTTGTTTGCGATTTCTGCCGCTGCGGCCTCTTCCGGTGAGCAAAACAGGAATTCAAGTACAATTAGAGGAGAGCTTAAGCCGGATTCTGCAATTACATCATCGCTAGTCAGGGCTGCTATAGTGTTCATTATTAATGAAATTAACAAGTCGGTCGACGGTTGTGTATGTTAATAATAGCCAAAAACCTATCGACCCATCCGGAAACCGAAACTGGTTTGTGAAATTCGCTAGCTCATTAACTTTGCCACAATGTTTGCCCAGCAAAACTTTCCGCACAACAATTTCGTTTTTTACTACAATTTGAATAGTATTATTATTCACGCGATCGCTGAGTGGACAAACTTTCACACTCAAAGAAGAAATGGCCTTTATTGAATATTTGAGATACTTTTGGGTTTATCTTTGAGTTTGGTAGATATTAGAACGTTTACTTTCCTTTTGCCTCTATTAAAAGACTTGGAATAAAGCTCAATGTACGAGCTATATGCTATGATTCACGGGTTTTAAATAAGTCAAAGTAAATTAAAATCAACAGTTCATATTCATATCGTAGTGGTACATCACCGAGAGGTGTGAAGTCCAAGCTTTAGATCTATCATCTATGTATGTAGATAGATTTCGGATACTTACCACTGAATTCATTGATTTTGCAGCTGGCCAGTTCTTGCCGCGTGCCTTCTTCACCTTGGACTCGGAGGGTCGCCCATCGGATGTCCACCCCGTGAATGGCCATCTGCTGAGGCGTCTGCGTCGCCAGCTCTACAGTTCGTCGTCATCATCATCCTCCTCATCGTCCAGTGGAAGCGGCGGCGTCGTCACCTATGCCTCGCACTCCGTTCAAAATGCGGACGGCACCGTTCATTCGGGTCAATCTTACATCCAGCAGGCTGGTCCAGTGCTTGGGTAAGCTTCCCTGGAAATGAGGACATCCATTGATGATTACTAATTATCGCGTCAATTCACAGTGGCCTGTCCTTCGACGACAACTATTATTCCAACTACAATGGCGTGGCCTCCAGCAGCACCAGCAACGGACTGGGAAGCACCACTAGCTACCAGCAGAGCTCCGGCGTCGGAGCCGTGCCCACCACCCAAATCCAGCAAATCGTGTCCACCGTGGATGCCAATGGCCACCAGAAGGTGACCAACATCCAGGGTGTCACCGATCAGTCCGGCGTTCTTAACATCAAGAAGACCGAAGTCTCTTATCCCTCCCAATAGAACATAGGTTTTTTCGAGTGTATACTTTAATAAATTAAAGTAAAGTAAATTAACTGACACGTTGGCTTCTTAAATGGATATTTTCTGAGCTCACAAGTTTTAGCTCCCCAAGAACTTACCCCCTCCTCTTTAACGCTTACCATTTCGTTTGGTCGATTAATTGCTTCCCAGTGGGCGCACTGCCACGCCCCTTGCAGATGTCGCAGCTTATTCACTGCGGTTTCCGCATTGGAAGTGCTCTTTTTGTGCACACTCTATATGATTGCATCCCACATACCATATCCTCAAAGTTCCATCCTGTAACCTGCATCTGCATCCCATATCCTTCATCCTCTTTCACTTCAAGCTAAAAGTGATGGATGATTCCAGGGGGCCAGGGGCGTAGGCGGTGTTTGGTTCCAGGGGATTTGGAGTTGGTAGAGTTAGAAACAATAGGAAAAATAGTTAAAAACAATAGATAATCTTTAACTACCAAGGAAGACAGAACAAGATACAAACTTTCAGCTGCATTTCCAAAATTAAACTGTTTACTAAACTAATAAGGAATGTACACTAATGTTGGTATCATTCAGAAATATTGTTCTACCGTTGAGTTCATATGTTAACTACTTAACCCCTTTTATCCTGCGTACGCCTCTGTCGGTAGGAAAGAGATGGCGAGATGTGCCGAGTGCTTGCACCGCTGAGCACGAACAATTGCCGGTGGGCGTGTGGGGGTTAATCGGGCGTAAGGGGCGTGGCAGGCAGTGTTGGTTAAGGCTTTTAGTGTATTAGGGCAGCCAAGTGGAACTTCACAGCCTCCAAGGCTGTTAGCGATGATTAAAAAACTAGTGCACTCTAAGACGGCGAAAGCGGCGGTGACAAGAACTACTAGTTTCACCAGGAAGAATATGAAATGGGGAAAATTCGTAGAAAAAGACATGATGCGGGGCACCGACTATGAGATGTGAATATGAGATTTGCTTGGGGAATTGCCGAAATCTCAACAGGTGCACGCACTTTTGAACACACCATCCATCGCTCTCACACATTCATGCAAATGCTGAAAAGTTTGTGGTAACTTCAGTGTGATGGAGTGAGCGAGGCAGAGGCTGCCGAAAAGTTTTTAATTATTATAATTAATTACTTTGATCTCTGACTGGCAACTCGCTCCTTACCGCCGCTATTAATTTACTTGATTAAGATGAGGTTTTCCCGGCTGCTTTGTTAAAATGTATCTCACATAATTGGGAAAGTGTAATGAATTTACTTTTTCAGCGAGACCTGCGCTGAATGTGATAGATTTTCATTAGAGCATGCTTGGCATGTGTGGAGCACGGATAAGGGTTAATTAGGGGGGGTCACCAGAAGGTTAAGGAGGTCTTGGGTTGGAGAGATTATTCCATCATAAGTACTCGAAACTTTCAACTTTGCATAAATTATGTTTAGCCTTAGCCCAATTCGAAGTATCTTTGTGAACATTTAAGCAAGTTCCATTAGTATCTCTACTGCAATATTTACCTTTAATTAAGCTTAGGGGAATGAACTTACTTAATAACTAAAATTAGTTGATGGCTCATGCAAGCTTTAATTGACTTAGCCAAACCATCTAGCACTCTCCCAATCAAAAATCAGGTTTTAGGTATGATGCTATTTTTCATCCTCTTCTACCATTCTTTTTAATCAAACTCGTGGAAAAATATTCTTAGAATTGGCATATCTCATTGTATACTTAAACGATTTGTAGTTATCTTTTTTTAGTGCAGCTAGATGTAGAAAATCTTCGAGAGCCCGTGAGTGGGTTAAAAATCAATTATAATTATTATTATCGCTGGCATTAGGCAGGGAATAATTAGTGGCTTTCGCGGTCTTCAATGAAAGCTTAATTCTTGAGAGCTAGATAAAGAGAGAAATCAAAAGAACATGTTTCAGTTGGCGTGCTCTGAATTTTCGATGAAACGGTACTGTCGCAAAAAGCAATTCTTCTGCTTGTTCTTGCACCATTCCAGTTGAAGAATCGCTCGCTGATTGATGGGGAGTCAAGCGGAGACAGCGGACAACTTGCAACAAATTAAGCTTCTTGTGTGGCCAAGCGTTGCGGTAGATCGACGCCACCTGGTCAGGTAGCCACCATCACCACCACCGCCATCAGCCCGCCTCTGCTCCATCTACCCTAGCTACACTCTAAAAAATGCTGTGTAGTAAGATGGGATCATTCACTGATCTTTATATCGTTGTGATTTAGTTTTAGACAAACTTGATTCAAGGTATGCGTGTGGTAGGTATATGATGCACAAGTCTTTTACTTGCTTTTACCAGAAAATATGGTTTGTTTTTGGCGAGCTTTGCCTCCTTTCAATATCCATTTTCTTCAGTGTACCTGAGCCTTACCCCTCCCTCCACCGTACCGATCCCATTGGCAACTTCCACGGAGTGACCACCGCCGGCGATGCCTAAATTCAGTTGGACACGAGCGCCAATGCAGCGATCAAGTGACATTTTATTGTCGGCAATCCTTGCTTTGCCTTGTGCTTTTTCGATGCTTCTGCTTGTGTGCTTGTGTGCTTGCGTGCTCGTGCTTTTTGCTTTTGCTGCATTTCCTATTTGGAGGCATGAAAGCAGCGACGGATAATTGACAACAGTTAATTCCATTCCATTGATCGCTGGAGCGTTGAAATGTCGCAAATTTAATTATTGAAGCCGCACGCTGCCAGTTCCACAGGAATCCTCCAATGACCGTGGGTGGGCAGAAATGCCAGGAGCCATGGCATTCATGGGCGTCGTCTAAATTGAGGGTAAGTATGCCACTAGATAATGTAACAATAAGAAAGAAGAGGGTCAAATAATAACATCAAAAAAATTACAAAAAAATTAAAATAAAATAAATTTCTAAATTTGAATGCAGATTTTTAGAGAATTGCGCCAGAAACATTTAGAGGTATGCCACTTCAAAATCCGATTAAGATAAGTTGAGTTATGGAGCTTAAAACTTCAGCCTAGGGACATTTTTTAATTTTTTTGGATTTCTACATCAAAAAAAATTACAAAAAAATAAATTTCTAAATTTGAATGCAGATATTTAGAGAATTGCGCCAGAAACATTTAGAGGTATGCCACTTCAAAATCCGACTAAGATAAGTTGAGTTATGATGTTTAGAACTTCAGCCTTGGGACACTTTTTACTTTTTTTGAATTTCTACATCATAACATCAAAAAAATTACAAAAAAATTAAAAAAAAAAAAATTTCTAAATTTGAATGCAGATTTTTAGAGAATGGCTCTAGAAACATTTAGAGGTATGCCACTTCAAAATCCGACTAAGATAAGTTGAGTTATGGAGTTTAGAACTTCGGCCATGGGACACTTCTTTATTTTTTTAAATCCGATTAAGAAATTTACAAAATATATGTGAAAAAACGAAACTAGTATACTCTTTAAATCTACGAGTATAAATATGATAATAAACCATTTCTTAAAATATAAATATTTGGAACTTTCCGGCAATGTATCTTACGTTTAAGCCCGATTTTGTATTGTGTCGTATTTGGGCCACCTTTTTTTGCGTCCAGGAACACCGTCAGTCTTAAGCACTCTTTGACATTCATGCCAAGGCAAACAAAAAGGTTCAGGAGGGACAGGTTGAGGGGCAGAAGGATGTGCAGGTGAGTGCCGTCAAACGAAAGCCAAACAAAACGAACTGTTTCCTGACAAATTTCTGTCATTTCAACTGGAGCTGGAGTTGGAGTAAAAAGCTGGCAAAAAAATGGAAATGGATCTGCAAAAAAGGAGACCAACGATTTGTGCAGTCATCGGAAGCGGAAGCACCGCCAGGATTCCGTGCATCCCCCTTGCCCACCTCCATTGACCAAGTGACGAGGACATTCTGTCTACGGCGGGAATGAGGGGTAAAGGATAAAGCTGAGTGAAGGAGGCAGAGTAAAGCGCTCTGTTGACTTAAATCGTTTAGGTAAAGTTAAACAACTTGTTCCGTTAATTGTTAAACAATGCCCAGTCGAAGGAAGGAAAAGCGGAGGAGGAAAATCGTTCCCCGGGAGATTGACAGAATCGCTGGGAATAATTGATGGAAAAACTGAAAGCAAACAAATGATGGAAATCTGAGGGACAAGAGAGGACGATGTTGAATCGAATTTAAGATACATAGAAAAACTTTATGTTGCTGCAAGTATGTTACGTTTGAAATGCTTATAAATTATAGTGCATATAACATACATATAACATACATATAACCCTTGAAATATAATTGTCCTTTTTCAACCTTTTCGGACCTCCAACTATAATTGATGTTGCTAATGAACCCTTTTTCATGCAATATGTGCACTTTTCTGCCGCTTCAGTTATATGCTACTGCTTTTCCAGATGCGGGGGGTCATTGGAAGGTAGTGTCCTTGCAAAAGGGTGAAAATTCCACCCAAAATAATGGCAACAGAAATGAAAGCAACAACACAGCAGCAAGGATAAGAGCAATAGAATCTCCATATGCAGACACACATAGATTTCCGTTGCGATTCCCTCGGGGCATTTTCTATTCCATTCGCTTTTCTCGCAACTCTTTTTCCAGTTTTCCACGCACTTTTCCGACCCTCTCCCCAAAAACTTCTCTTCCTGCATAGATGACATTGCAAGAACAGCCTGCAACAAACATAAATATAAATTTTCATACGTATTTAGACAGTGTTTCGTGATATATTGTAAATTTAATGGTACTTAAAACATCTTACATTTAAGTTTTAGCATAAAATGAATAACTAAATGTGTATATTCCCAAAATATAATTGATGAAAGGAATTGATGTTTGCAGTCATGTTTGGAGCTGAACTATTTTGCTTTTCCAAATTAAATAAGAATGAGTGTAAGGAATTTAAGCTGACGCCATCAACAAGCAAAAAAAGCTAACCAATTTAGAGGCCGTCGATAAAGCAGTTCAGTTCTCTTTGAGAACTCTGTCTTCTCTTAGTCGCACCAAATTTCTCTTAGCGACAACAGTTGCTTCTTATTGGTGAAAAAAATTGGAGCAAAAAAAGAAAACCAACTGACCAAATTGACTTTGGAGTTTCTCAAGGCAATTAAAAGTAAGAAAAAAACAATATCTATTTGAAATATTCATACAGCTGCGACACATGGAAAAATCATGTAAATTTTCAGTCTCGGCACAGATCCCAAACTAAATTATGAGCACATTTTCACTTCAAGTTTGTCTAAAAAATGTTATTTATTGCTGGGCCAAGAAAGCAAAAACCAAACAAAATTAAAATGCATTACAAACAATTTGTTTGCCGTGAAACCAGGAGGGTTGTGGCTGCTCAACGAAAAAATTGTAAGCAATGCATATTAAATGTATTATGTTTTTTTCCTTTTTTATGTATATCTACCTTTGAGTTATTTAATAGAAATGTTCCGGCAATTAAGCTTCCGACGAATTTTACACTTTTGTGCACAAAAACAAAGTGGAAAAAAAACAGGACAGCATTTTCATTGTTTGCATATTTAATAAAGCTAATCAAAAACACGTCGCGCCCTCGCCGGATTCAAAAAATAAACCCCGATCCCTAGCCATTAACCCGCCCGATTTGCCAGATTTTTAGGGGAGTGAGGCGCTGCAGTGACAGCATCCTTCACATAATTTATTGGCCAGCACTCAAGGACACAAAGTCGGCAAAGATGGGCAAAAAAAAAATATCAACAAACGGAATACAAACAAACGGATATCGAACAAAACTGTGAAAAACCCAGCGGGAAACCGCCGACCGGCAGCCAAACTAATTTGTTGTCATTTTTATGCGACAAAAACGAAAACAATAAAGCAGTAAAAACAAATTGTTAGAAAGAGATGCGGCGAGAGGGGGTGAGCGGCAGGACGAGGGACGACGATCCTTGCAGCTGCCACGAAACTGATGAATTATTGATTCCATTAATAGTTATTAAAAAACTGGAAACTATTTCTGGCGAAAAGGTGGGGGAAAACTAGAAAATATGCTCGACAAAAAAAAACAACGTTCTTCAAGCATTTTTAAAATATCTATAAGGTTGATTTCATTTTCAAGAAGTCTTTTTAATATTTATGTATAAAAGTATTCATAAAAAATTATAAGAGAATAATAATTTTGGGGACTCCATGAGAAAAGTTTTCAATACAGGTATGACTTGTTAAACAGTTACCCATATATTGTACTGATTAGAGGATAACTTTTGGAAAACTTTAAGTTAGTTGCCACATTTTTCTCTTAAAATATGCTATAGTACAAAATGGGAATTTTTACAGATATTTACATTATCCAATTTGCGAATGTTTCCACTGAGCGATAACCACTTGAGTCACTCTGGTATCAATGTGCATAATCCTGTGATTATGATCACGAAATATCCTCCCTCGGAACCGCAGGAAATCGGGTGTAACGAAAAACAAACAGCAAATAAGGACTCGCCGCAGCGGAAGTCAACAAATGCTCTTAATTAACGATGCCGAACACCAGAAATTTCGAGTGTCAACTAACAATTTGTGGGTGACTGTGTGCCTCGTCCTGTGGCACTCGTTAGTCGAAAGGATTTTCGCGCATATGGACTGAAATTGATGATGTGAGCAAGTGGCACGTAATCAATTTACCACCGCTCGCTTCATTTCGAATGCGAATTTAAGATGCCATTGTCCCAGTGCCGCTGGCACCCCGTATTTTTCCTCTTTCGTAGCCTTTCGAGCACCAAATCGAGGGTGGTTGTACGGTCGGTCCTCATTACGATGGACTTTGAGCTGGTGTAACAGTATATCCACAACATATGTGCCACAAGGCTGCCAGAATGCCAGAATGCCAGGATGTGGAGAGTCCAATTGGTGATCACTGCGGCGGTTGCAAGCGTCATTGTGTGTGGCAAACGGATTAAAATCGAATTTCTGCGGCTGCAACATTATTATATCATGTTGCCGATTAAAAATTATATGAGCCGTTCAATTTGTGGCACCGAACCCATATACTTTGCAGCTACAACTTATAGTTTGCTAAAGGTAAATTGCATATTACTACATCTAAATGCCATATAAACAATATTATAGTATTGTATATAACTGTTTGAATATTCATCGTTTAATTTGAGATTCTGTAAGTAACTCGTTTGGCTGCTTTAACCCACCAAAACCCACCCATCCCCATAAATAACATATCTCACTCAATATCTGCGTCTAAACAACCCAAAAGCCCCTTAGTTACTTAGATGCCAGTATCCAAATTTGGGAGTAGCCCCAACCCGAAACGGAAACCCATCCACCCACATGTGGGACATTCGTTTTACTTTGTTGAATTGCCGAGGTCCTGTGTCTTATTTACATCGACTTTGGGTCGCCTTTTATGTTCCTAATGTCGCATAAACAGTGCTTAATAATGCACTAACCTTGGCGCATCGCCACTAACCGTGTAAAACGTGGCTCGAACCCATCCAAAAACTGGAAATAAAATGAAAAAGTGAAAAAAACAAGAAACCCACTCGTCGACAGGGATTAATATTTAATTCGCGTGCGTTTGGATCCCTGTTCGAGTATGTATTTTAGGGAAAATTTAATGGCCGCGGCGGAGGCAAGGATATCAGCAGGATATCTGTGAGTGGGCGAAAGGGGCGGGGAGCGAACCTTTTGTCTTGAATGAAATTTGACTTGACGACGACCTCGGGGATCATCGCCGTGTTTACCTGACCACTCGACGTTTTAAAGCATCTGAAATATGCCGTTTGACCTGCTAAGCAAATATGTGGAAAGGTCCCCCGAAAACCAAAAGTGAAACAATGAGGCTTGCCTCGCTCATACGAGCATGAGCTGCAAACGACTTGGCCAACTCTTAATCACTGTTTTCATTATGTGAGCTGACTTTTGCTGTATCGCACAATCGGAAACGATTACCACACAATCAGGGGGGTGGAGCGTCCTGAAAACAGAGGGGAGGGGGGGAATGGGGATGGTGTGGGTGGTGAAGGCACCCCCAGAGTGCAATTAGCAGGCAAACTATAAAATTTCACTGTTTGTCTTGCCAGATACTTTCGCTCGGCAGAGATACAGATACAGATACGTTTGTGCGGTGGCAAAACAAAGGTTGATGATGATGGCCATGTTTGGCCTCCTTCTTCCATGTGGCTCACATAACCCACATGGTGGGCAATTTCTCTGTACGCTTAATTGGCGTTCTGTGGCTTTTCCAGCTCCCTACCGCCACCTGGCGCATTTTCACAGCACTTTAATGGGTGAAACTAAGGGTTTCCCGAAAAACTTTAATGTTGCTTAAGATTTTAAAACTTGATTGAAGCATTTACAGTCAAGTTTTAATATGTAAACATCTATATTTCGTATAATCCTTTTGAATAATGCAAATATTTTCCGCTTTCATTATCATGTTTTTAGAAATGCAGTTTTGAATTAAAACGCAAGATTATTGAATCGCTGAGGCATCCGTGAGACCATTCTCCTCGGGCATGAGGAACTCCTCCACCACGGCGTTGGTCATCCTGTTCAGCTTGTCGTGGAGCTCCTCCCACTGCTTTTCCTCCGGCAGACCACAGATCTCCGCGTTCAGTTTGATCTTGATATCGTTGTGAGCCGATCGCAGGGTGACCACATAGCCATCGGTGAAGGTAAAAGTAATCAGCTGGTCATTTGGATTGACCGGCATGCGAGCCTTACCATCGCTGAAGGAGGTGTCCAGACCGGTGGTCAAGTCCCGGATATGAACCACCTCGAATTCTTCCTCCAGGATGCACCTGGGATAGCCCTCCTCGTCCGTAAAGTTGCGCAAGTGAGCGAAGATGCTAGTGATTGTCTCTGGACTATCGGCCAAATAAACCGATGAGATCGACGAGTGGTAGCCATATGTATCGTAGATCTCCCTCAGCTTCTCGATCAGCGTCACGTTCCGCGTGCTGCGCAGATAACAGGCCATGCTGGCCAACTGCATGGCAGCACCAATGCCCTCCTTATCCGGCAGGCTCATCCCGAACATGTAGCCAAAGCAATCCTCGAACGCGAAGAGCACTGTCCTTCCAGACTTTTGCAGCTCCAAGGCGCGATGCGCCATCCAGGGAAAACTGGGCATGCCCTCCACAAAGATGAAGCCCTCAACCCTTGCCATGGCCGCCAGGATGCGTGAGCTGACCAGTGAGGCTATCATTATGCAGTTGGACACGGCTGGCTTGGGTGTCCTGGTCCTGTAGTTCTCCAGTGCCCACCAGCCGAGCAGAGCGCCCAGTTCGTTGCCATTGAACAGCTTCCAGCGGCCCCGCGGATCCAGCTCGGCCACAGCCAGGCGATCCACATCCGGATCGTTGGCCAGAATCAAGGTGCAGTGCTCCGCGTCCGCCTTCTTTATGGCCAGCTTCAGGGCTTCCCTGCCCTCTAATGAGAGTTTAAAATCAAAACCACATAAGAGTATGAACAAAATCACTCACCTTCCGGATTTGGCGAGATCAGGGTGGGAAACTCCGGATCGGGCTCCTTCTGCTCCACCACGGGAATCACCGGCTTGAGTCGCGCCTGGTAGAAGGCCTCCCTCATGAAGGGATACCCCACCCCGTGAAGAGCCGTGTAGATGAACCTCAACTGGCTGCACTCATTAGTCTCCAGATAAATCGGGGGTAGAAGCTGCTTGAGAGTCTCGTAGAAGAGTGGGTATATCTGGCGATAGGGATCCTCCACCAAGGGATGGTCGAGTACCACCGAAGTTTCCCAGGACGAAGGCTTCGGCTCCAGGTTATTCATCATATAGTCATGAATCCGCTGATCGTGCGGAGCCATCGCCTGAGCGCCATTCGTCCAATAAACCTTGATGCCATTGTCCTCCTTGGTATTGTGGGAGGCAGTGACCACGATCCCCGCCAGGCACTGCAGCGTCACGATGGTGAAGGGTATAAAGGGCGTCGGGGTCATGCGGGTGAAGAGGTACACCTTGAAATCGTTGTTCAGGAACACGGAGGAGATGAGCTGGGCAAACCGCTTGCTATTGTATCTTCCATCGTAGCCAATGACCACGCCCTGCGTTTGCCTCTTCTGGATGCTCGGATAGGCATCGATGAGGTAGGCGCAGATGCCCTGGGCCACTTCGATGATCACCACATCGTTCAAGGAGTCGAAGCCAGCCCGCATCACGCCCCTCAAGCCCGTGGCCCCATAGGTGATCCTGTGGCACAGTCTCACCCGCAAGGCATCCCAGTCCTGATCCCTGACTGCCTCGGTCACCTGCTCGAGCGTCGCCTCATTCCGGTCCCACATCACCCAGTTCTTGATCTGCAGATCGAGGTCCTCCTCGCCGGACAGCTCGAGCGTCTTCAGGAGGTCCTGCGGCGAAATCACCGTTTTCCGCTTCAGCGAGATGGACATATTCTGGCCAAAACTTGAGAGATAACCAGGCTAACTAGAAATTTTGTTATTAACCCTACAGTTTGAATTTGGGATGAGTTTTAGCTCCCAGTTCTTACAATCTTGCTTGTTGTTCGGGAAAAATTACCACAACGTTCATCTATTTTATTCACTAAATTAGAAAATATTAGTTGGGACTGCTGTCTTACAGCAATTTCCATGTTTTTACGAGTCATTAATATTACTTAAAACCATGTGGGTAGCTAATCGATGGGGGATTTTTATGAAAAATTCTCTTCTTGTGTTAGCTAACTGACTGCTATGCTAAATACCTATTTTAAAGGTCCTTTTCCCAGCCACTGACCAATTGAAAATTTATGGGCCCCACTCATTGCAATTTACGAGCCCCGTGAGGAAGACTCGAGCGGCTAAGCTCCATCAACCGCAAATTGATCCATTGGCCATTTGATTTGGCCAGGCCAGGCCGGGATTTATGGCCCAGGAAGGAGACGAGGAAAAGGGAAAGTCCTGATGTCCCGATGTCCTGATGGGGCTGAGGCGAAGACTGTACGCATCAAAATCTATCGAAAATATATTTTATGGAGTGTCCCAGCCTCTATGCCATAAACATGATTTCAATTTGTCATCAATTATGCAAAGCGAGTCGAGGAATGTGGCCCCTGCCCGACTCCGGGAGTCCTTTGTCCACGGGTGTGGGTAATTTGCAGAACGGTAATTGGGTTACACAGGCGCATGCAACATTTATCAGCCACCCCCCTGATTGTCTGATGTCCTGACCCCTGCCCCGCACCCCTTTCGCACCCCCTCCACGCCCCTGCTGCCGGCCATTTGCCCTCTGACACGTCAATTGCATTCTAAACACTCGGCGCAGAGCTCTCAGCTCCCCACAAAACCAAAGGCTCATCGGCATGCATCCGCCGCAGTGGCAACATTAGTCCTTGCACACGGACACACACGCACACACTCGCACACACTCGCACACACTCGCACACACTCGCACGCGGTGGTCACACACTCACTCGAAATGCATTTCGCGTCAAATTGTCAGAGTGTTAATTAAAAATGGACACTTGAATAGGCAGCAAGATAGTCGAAGCGCACACAGTTGCACTTTCCTCGCCGGCGGTTGTGGCACGAATGTCCTGCACTCCAGCCAACATCCTGCCCCCTCCAAATGCTCCTTCCCCTCCAGGAGTCACCCTATGAGAGTCTGAGAGCACTGTAAAGCTTATGGTCTACAGGAAAACTAGGAAAACTTTGCTTTTTTGAAGCACTGAATTCAATAACTTACTATGAGTGTTCTTGTGTGGATTTTCACACGTTTTTCAACTTACAGCACTTTTTAAATTCCATTTACTTTGTGTGAGAGCAAACTTGACTGATAAGAGTGTTTTCCGAAAATTAAAGGGATTCATTGGTAAAAGTACAAGTAGTTTTAGAATTTTTGATAAGCGTTTAGAAACTGAGGAATAAATTAGGCATTACATTTCGTTTAACTTTTGATATATTGCAACCGATAGTACTTCTCTAAAAACATTACCACAAAGAAGTGTCATAAAGCAATTAAGAGGCACAACTTCGTGCCGTATCGAAAACCAATTTAGTACTTGATTTATGAACCTCTTGTATGAGAACACTAATCGGTTTCCCCGGTCCTCCAGATGCCTCTATCTGGATTTGTTTTAAGTGCTCCGTGCGATTTCCACATTTGCATAGAGACGTCCTACAGGCAATTTACTCCTAGAACGAATCCCGTCCTGCGGCAACGAATATTGAGTGTTTACGGCCCACGGCTCCCCAGATACATGGCAAACCATCTAATTCCGGAGTGCAGGATGCCATATAATGCGTTTGCATAATTTTAATCGCTGGCTTCTGGGCTGCCGAATTGCCGTTGTGTGAATTTTTTATGGCACCCGCGAGTGTCCTGGGCGGCAGGAGGAGTATGTGCGGATGGGCTCCTGATTTTCAAGTCGAATAACTAACGCTATCGAAGCTATTAAAATGCTAATCTAAAGTATTTTATGGCAGGCAAACTGCAAAGAAAAGAAAACTCCACCTTCAACTGGGGAGATCCCAGGATCTGAAAAGCGCAGGATACACCACCCCAGAAAAACCAAATCGGAGGACAACCTGCTACCATTACGTTCCTGCGGAATTAAAACCGAATCATTCATTTCATTCAGTGCCTCAAATTGAAATTGACATTTTGTGCGTGAATCTCGGAATTATGTGACATTTTTCATTCCATATATATTTGGCTAATGCCAATCAGCTTGAGGATTTTCCGGCTGCGAAAAGTGGTTTTTAATGTCTGCACCGGCAGTTCGATGATGAGGCTGACATTTAAGACCCTTTGGCAGCAGCTGCTCCTTGACAAATGTGAAATAAATGCAAATCTGCTGAACTTTGATGAATCTAATATTTCCGAAAAGGGTCTTCTTCCCCCCAAAAAAAAACCCAAGCCACCAAATAGTTTCAGTCCGAATCTCCTTCGACTGCGAAATAAATTTTGTGTAATTTATTTAAGGGCCTGGCCTGGCTTTCCATATTTTCATATTTGAGCGATGCAAAGTCGTGGAAAATGAAATTTACATCATTTGTTTATTTGTATCGCTCATGTCCTGTGTGTCCTGTCCTGCGGTCACCCCCCAAACGAATCCTGTGGGAATCACCCGGCCAAGCAATTCAGTAAGATGTGGCAGTCCAAAAAAAAAGAAGGAAAAAGAAAAAAAACTGAAAGAAAAAACATTGCAAATTTGATTACCACCCGCAGAAAAAAGGAAATATATTTCGTTTGTTTGCATATCTATTTTTTTCTCCTTGCCAGCTTCCTTTGAAATTAACGCATTATGTTTATGTATTAGATGCAAATAGAAATGGCCAAAGGACCTTCACACATGGCTGGCCAAAGGGTCAGAAATCCAATTTCGCAACTCCCATTTCCTGGGGGTCTCCTTTCCCAAATTGTGGAGCCCAGCACTTTTATTGCACATCAAGTTGTCTTTCCAGAAATTGCTCTACCATCCCCACCACTCCACTTTCCAGTCTCCGGGCACAGCTTTTAATTGCCTACATCGATTCCACAACATCCACTGTATCCACTCTGTGCATTCTACGCTGGCAGAGTCGTAAGCGGTTTCGCAATCACCATTACCAATGGCATCTCCAAGTGCCCAACTCCACCAACTCCAGACACCTCGAACCTAATCAGCTGAATGCGATTTCGGTGTTTCCATTCGAAGGGAAATCTGTGGTGTGCAGGGGAAAAGCTTTGACGTGACAGGAAAATTCGGCACTCAAAGGGTTGAGCTTTGATGGAAATGTTGGCACTTTTCCACGCAAAAACTCAGCATTAATAAAAGAATATGTGGGACTGCTAGACTTTGGGTTAAGTCAAGTCTGCCGCAGTCACTGGAGACCTTCCACTTGACACTATCGAACATCATCGAACATCATTTGCTTTGAAAGCAATCTCGCTTTGGCTGTCAATTTGCTTTGCATGCGGAATACCAAAGCAAGGAATCAAAGGTGGCTGTGACTGCATAATGGAGTTTGCTTACTTAACAGGGAAAAAACAAGAAATTGTTGTAAATATGTTTGATAAAGATCACATTCAAAGGCACTTGGCACTCAAAACCAATCTGGCACTTGATTTATGAACTTGGCGCTCGTTAGACGTGCCTAAAGCATTAGAAAGTAAGCAATCTCAACTTATTTCCTTCAAGATGTGAATTTATTGTATGTACGTTGTGTTGCCTTGTTATTGAGTGTTAAATACATTGAATCTGCTCTTAAAATTGCAGCATCCAGCATTAAAATGACCTACGCCTGTGTTTCAATCACTGAACTCCAGCTTCCAATTATGACTCCAGTTTCGCTGGCTCCGGCTGAGCTGTAATTAAGGATTATTGTCGTGTCCTTTGGCTGGCTGACACAGCAAGTATCCCTGCCGTTGGAGGGCTCCTTTGAGCTGGATAGCAAAGCCGCCCGGCGATGTGGCAGAAATATAAAAATTATTGATTATCAGCATTGGCATCTCAGCGATTTGCTGCAACTGGCCGCGTCCAATGTTTTTTCGTTGCCCCGTTTTGCTTTTTTTTTGGATCTCTTCGGTTCGATCCCATCATTAAAATCATTGTGCGATATCGACACCTCGGCCAGCACTTTTTTCCGCCATCGAGTTGCCGATGGAAGGCAGTAGTGAACATAATAAATAGCGGTGGCAAAAAGCGAGATCGTTTCGCTTGTCGCACAAGTGTTGTCAACAGGTTCTGCGGAATTCTCCCGTCCAAGTGCAGCTCCTCCCGAGCTCCGCCTGGCGGGAAGGGTCCTCTGGAATTGGCGGGCACCTGCAGGGGAACTGGCCACGATGAGATCGGCCGTGTTCTGCTCCGATCGTCCATCATGCAGGGATGACAAGTGATCAAAAATGCAGCAATATTTTACAGCCAGCAGTTTGTTCGTCGTGTTTACAAGTTGATCGCTGATGAACGGGCCAACATTGAGTGGGCATGACACCGTGACACGAAGGGCACTTAACAAACCAGTAATAGATATAATTAGATATATAATTACAGCCCACTCTTAAAAAACTAAAGATATTTAGTACAAAATATAATAACTAAGTGGAATCATATGTATCATTAAGATATTTAGTACAACACCTACTTACTGAGTGCAATCAAATATACCATCTTGAATAAAGTAAGTTGGAGAAACCAAAACAGAGTACTTAGTATCCAGATAAATGGATAGCTAATGAAAGCTGACTGAAGTGAAACTATTCAAGACCTAGAATGATCTGATGTCTGATATTACTATTCCCTCAACCTTATTGAAACTAGAACTCACGATCTCCACCACCATTCCCTCCGCGGAGTTCGCAGTCTGGTGACACATTTCAGTACTGAACTGGCCCTGGACAGCAGCTGCTTTCTCCTTAATTGTCCTTATCACTTTGTCATTAGCTCGGCTGGGCTGGCTTATAAATATTTATAACCAACTGGAGTTGGCTGGCTGACTGGCTGAAAGGCCGACGGGCTGGCAAGTGCAGATTTGAGATACTCGAACATTGATTAAATG